TCTCTGAGAATTGCCTCGGTGCATAGGTTGAGTCTGGTGAAAAGAGACATCCTTGTCTTACACCCATTTCTATTTTTATATATCTGCTGAACTCATTTTATATCCATTTACAGGCAATTGCTGCTAGTATAGGTTCTTGATTATTCTAATATCTTTCCAAAATATATCAACGTTTGCTGAGCAGTTCCAACAGATCTTTGTGGTATACTTTATTGAACGCATTTGCACAATCTATAAAACATGGTTACATGTCCTTCTGCCTTTGTATTGCTCTTTCTTTGTCTTAAAATGGGGGGACCATGTCTGTCCTACCACGGTTTGCTCTTAATCCACATAGGCTCTCAGGGACGTGACCCACAGAAACTTTCCTCACTCGTCTAACTGGCAGAATTCTTGTGAAGATCTGGCCAGTAACATGAACAAGAATTCTGCCAGATAGACTAGAAGCATTACTGAATATGACTTGGTTCATTCCTTTTCGTTATATGTGCAACCTAGGCTTTCAACAAAGTGCTGAAAAGTTTCTGGCCAAAACCACTTTTCAAAATCTGACCAAGATTCATTTTTGCTTAGATTTCTGCACTCCCTCGTACACTTGAATTTTAATACATAAACCAAAGGACAAAGTGTCTGAAAATATTCAGATTGTATTTTATATAAAACTCCTGCTATTTACATTTAACTTTACAGCGCCATGGAAACAGGCTCGGTAAAAGTACTGGTAGTCTATGGCATCTAGGTAAACATTAGCCTACTAGATACCTCAGCTTTACATATAAGATCAAGGAGATATTTGTTAGTCACTTTAGGATGTGTGGGTGATGTAATGGATAATGTCTTGGAATTTGTTAATTGGAGATCTGAATTCCAGTTCTTGCTGAGTTTGTTATATTCACTTAAGCACAAATATCCTTGGGAAAGGTATGAATCCACCTCTTTTCATCCAGCTATGAGTTAATTAGTATGATATATATTGCTAAAACATTAATATCTCAAAAAAATTCTTACAATCTACAAATATTTTCTGGCTTTAAATAACCTGCAATTGGTTGATAAACTGTACAAATGAATGAATTAATCAATAGTCACTTTTGGTAAAAGATTGGGTGTAGGTACTACAGTAATATGAAAAAGTTAGAACATGCCATGGAAACTTTCATCATTTTCAACATATGTAAACATACGGACATTTGATCTTTTTAATATTGTGTAGAGATAGATGTAATGAACTTACATAAAAAGGAAAAATATATTTAAAAAATTATTTGGAAGATTTTATTGATAAAATTGCAATTTTCTTGTGAAGAAAAAGTTAAGACACCCTCGCAAATTCCTCGTTACTTAAAATGTCTGATTAGAATCTTGCAACAGATGGACCTGATTAGAACATTATCAGAGAAGATTTTGGAGTGCTATCACTCTGTCAAGGTAAAAGAGACAGCAAACAATGCCAAGAAATGGAAAAGAGTAACGAGTACTAAAGAAAGAGAATAAAAACAAATGTAGGCAGGCTAAAGAGAAATTGACCAATGAAAAGTACACAGAAATAGAGAATAAGCAATACAAAAACAGCAAGTATGCACACTAGAAGAATAAAAGAATTAACAGGACAAAAGATGAGGCAACCAACAGGTTCTATAAAAATCAAAGGAAGGATTAATGATAATAGAAAAAGAAAAAAAAAATATTCCAGGTGGAGAAAATACATCAAAGAACTTTTTCATGATGTGAAAGAGAAACCTACTCTGGAAAATAGAGAAGGGCCAGAAATAATAGATGAAGTAAGATCAGAAATGAACAGAAATAAAGCAGCAGGGTTGATGGGAATGTATGAGAAAAACTTTCAGCCTTAGATGACTATGGCATCGACAATATCACAGAAGCAATAAATGAAATATACAACAATCGCCACATACTGGAGGATCTCACTAAATTCATCTTTGTAACATTAACTAAGAGAACAAGTGTAAATAAATGTAAACTCCACAGGACAATCAGTTTAATGAACCACATAAGCAAACTAATGATGCAAATGAATAGAGTGCAAAGAAGAATCAGACTGGAAATAGGACAAAAACAGTGCAGCTTTGACAAGGACACCGGAACAAGAAATGTGATATTCATGATCAGAATGATACCAGAGAGAGTAATAAAAATGCAGAAAGAGGTGCACTTGTTTTATAGATTACACAAAAGCATTTAACAGGGTACGATAGAAAAAAACTATTTGAACTGCTGGGAAAAAAATCTGTTTGTAAAAGATGTTAGAATAATCCAGAACTTAAACCAGGACCACACTGCCAGCATATGGCTAAAAAAAAAAAAAAAAAAAAAAAAATTGAGCAGCTATGCAAAAATAGAAAGGGGCATAAGGCAAGGATGTGTCTTCTCTCCAGATTATTAACCTCTACAGTAACACAATCCTAAAGGGAATTGGAGACCCTACCAGGATTTACTATTAGTGGATGTATGCAGATGACACTGTGTTCATAGCCAACTCAGAAAGGAAACTACAGGGCCTCCTAGAAGAATGTGAGAAAATAAGGACTAACCATTAACTGTAAGAAGACAGAAAGTCTGGTCATCTAGTAAGAGAAAATGTCCAAGATGCAAGTTACAAATTGAAGATATCAACATCATGCAGGTGCAGAAATATAAATATCTGGCAAGTGTATTAACAGAGGATGGAAAATACACCACCAAGATCTGAAGGTGGATTGGACTAGTTAAAAGATGCCTTCCAAATCTAAGTAAAGCACTAAGATATGGAAAAAATGTTGCCAGAAACAAAGCTTGCTGGATTGCTATGTTATAGCCATCCTCTAATATGGCAATGAATGCTGGACAATCTCCCACGGATGAGGAGAAAAGAAAAAAAGAAAAACTAATGCAGACCTGCTCCAGGGTTCTCTCAGTCCTACTCTCTGCATTTTATTAACAGAGAGTAAGAGTGAGAGAACCCTAGGGCAGGTCTGCATTGATCTCATGAGTTTTGGATGAATAACCATCCACAACCACCTTCATGAACCTATCCAAGAGAAAAGACGGTATCATTGTGTTAGTGTTTATATTACAGTATTTCTCAGTAGAAATGATCATTTTCTCTATTATCTAAAGAAAAATTAAAAATGTAAAAATATCAGGAATATTTACAGCTGATTTTTATGAATTTTTCAAATTTCAGTTGATGTCACCTATAGTTCAGTGTATATTGTGGCTGTAATTGTGTTTCACTAACAACAGCTTCAAGAATATGTGTGTGTTCAGAAAAAGAAATTGCAGAAAGACAATGATATAATTCTTGATTGTGTTTTTGAAAATGCATTTTAACCATTCATTTGAATTCTCTGATGGAACTAAACATCAGCAAATAAAGAGGATATTTTATTTTGTGGTTTTCAGGAAGTTGTACTTGTTCACCTCTTTTGTGAATAGATGCATTGTCCATTATAAAGACAGTTTCTCATCTCAAAAACTGTAGATAGTTTCATGGATGTACATGAAACTAACTCGTTATTTGAAAGCTAAATTGCAAATTGTTGGTAAAGTGTAGGTCTATCATTTCATTTACATAGTTGGAAAGTAAACTTCTTGAGATTATATCCAATTTCATCAAAATGATAACTGTTGATATGTTAAGAAAAAATTTTACTTTTTAAATAAACATTTTATTTTACTAAGGATTGTTACTGTTGGATATTTGATATTTTTTTTTAAACATTTGTGTGGATATCAGTTAACTTGTTTCACTGAACAAAATTCTTAATTGGAGAAGAATGTTTTAAAAACCTTTTTTTGAATTATTGTACTTAATATTGAGATGAAGAGAAAGTGAATGGATATTTTCTCCAGCTCTTGTACTAGAAAGAATCTGCATTTTCATTTTCAACAAATAAGTGTCTTTATACTATCATTTTCTTTCATTTTAAAATGTTCTTGATTGTTTTGTAAAGTATAAAATGAAAAATAATTAATAGTAATATTACTTGTTTCTTAAAAAATTTAGAACATTTGAGTAAAAAGTAAATTTTAACCGAGAAATACTGTAATCAATGTAAGGATGATTTATAGTGTAGAATGAAGTTCAAATAAGTGGTAGATAGCATCATTGGGGAGTGAGAAAGTTGAAAGAAACAGCATATATTAGTCTTTCAAGTGGGTGCATGAATCAGGTTAACATGAATTTTAATATGTTAGTGATTTTCCTTGCTAAACAAAATTGATGGAGGCAGGAGGTGAGGATGTCATCTCACTGCAACAGATTCTTAGTCCCTTGATCCTGAAAACTCAGCAAAAAAGATTTACTGTAATTGTTCTTCATTAATATATTATGTTGTTGTAACATTCATAATTGAATTTGATAATATCAAAACAAGAAAATAAATCATGAAAAACAAAAAGTTAAATTAATGCTTTTTTAAAATTTATTAATCAAATTAAGAATACAAGAACATAACATAGGAATTGTACTATTGTTGTGTACAAGTTAATTTTTTTGCAAACAACCACCTTTAAAAATAAGAGTAAGAAAATATCTTTAAGATTTTGCAGCAAAGGGAAGCAGCAGAACTACAACCATTTCTAAAAGATACACGTAGAGTGTTATTTTTTTAAGTTAAGATTAACCCAGCGGAAAAAAAAAGAAAAAAAAAAGAAGAAAGATGTGGAGAAAGAAAATGAAATGTAGTTATTAGCAGAATGGTGATTCGTTGTTTACTGTGAACAAGAGTAAAAAAAAAAAAAAAAAAAAAAAAAAAAAGTTTGATGGGCAAGTGTTGGAAAAAAAAAATACTACAATCTTTATGAGATTTATTTCCTTTTGGTAATTATACCACTTTATTATTATTATTATTATTTTTTAAGGCATCTTTAGTCAAACTGTAAGACTAAAAACATTTGAGTTGACTAACATAAAAATGTTAAGTTGATTTGATCATTTAAATGTCAGACTGAAGTTTCATATTCATATTTAATTACAAGCAAATTTCTGAAAATGATTTTTAAGCCTTAATTTTACTCTGTGGTATGTACAATTTGAACTCTCCCGGCAGTTCATCTTCTGAATATAGTCGATCAGAAAAGTAAACACGCCGAATACGGCAATTGGCATGAATCTGTCAAAAGTAAAGAAAAAAAATTATTATTAAAATAAACAAGCAAATAAAAGTATATTATCACAAATTTATATTTAATTAAAAATTCCAAACATTAAGCAGGTTTAAAATAATTTGGTGCTTATTATTAACAGCCTCTTTGTATTTTGATATAAAGTAACACTATCCCTGGCAAAACAAGGAAATATTGTTAATGTCATTTTGATTTTGAGATTGGAATTTGCAAATGAGTTAATAGTTTGCAATTTATTCTCATAAACATGGTCCATTCAATTCAAGCTACAATCAATTCAAATATTATTGGTGAGATAAAAAAATAGAAAAAGAACTAATGACAAAGATTTATGAAAAACATACACTAAAAAATAGTCATGATCAAGGTATATACGTCGACTCTTTTGAATGGAAGCCTAATTAGCAAGAAGACTTCATATATTTTATAAGATTTATCTGAAGACTAGTGAAAGTCATCATGATAGAGCTCTACAATAAATTCTTACAAAAATGGCTATATAAAGTACTAGTCAAAACATCCTGGAATTCAGAATAGCATGTACAAACTGAATGTAGTACAAAATTTTGCTACTAACTTTTGGGAGTCAGTGTGTAAACAGCAGACAAAAGAATTTATTTAAAAGGAGAAAGTAAAAACTACATATTAGGGTAGATTCTTTTTTCTTTTCATGGTTAATCCAACTTTTGTGGGGGGAGCAACTTGAACTATATTGACCAAGGGGCAAAGGCTGAAACAGTTCTTTAATAAAATAAATAAAATAGTGGAAGTGATGCAAAATATAATCATATATCAACAATTTTACATAAAAAAAATTTTAATAATTTGCAAGAATATATAGAAGCACATTTTTAAACACAAACCTAAAAATATGAGTAACTATAATTGCAGAAATAAATTTGTAGCTCAATGATAGGAAAAAAAAAAAAAAAAAAAAAAAAATTCCCCACATAATTAAATGGGGAATATTCATCTCATAGATACAATGTTATACAACAGAAATTTCAGTTCAAAATACAGCTAATGACTTCCAGGCTAGAGACTTATTAATCTTGTTTTGTATGCCTTTCATTTGTATTATACAAATAAATGTATTTTACACATTCAGTTGGAAAAATACATACTTTTTAAAAGTTAAACATTACTATGGTTTTATAACCATTAACTTATTGGCTATAATAAAAAATATTTAAAAAAAATCATTATGTCATTAGCTTGTATGCCATTACTATCATTTAGTAAAGACATTTTGTTAAAACAATCCAAACAATTTCAAATAATGCAAATTAAAATTTGGTGGGTTTACTACGAGATTTTAATGTTTTTACTTTTTGGGGCATTGAATTTATCAGATCTGCTATCTTCTCTTCTCGGATATTTTCCTTTATTTCATGACCCCAAATGGCTTACATATTCTATAGGATTCATGCCAGAAGATTGACTCAGTCATTTAATAAATGTTTTCAATCTGCCATTTATGGGTCTTCTTTTGTAGCTGGCAGTGAAAAGAATGCCCTTCTTTCTCCGTTAAATGATTTAAGTGGCTTTTATTTTGCTATGATATGTGCATGGAGATATTGCATTGCCACTCTTAAGTAGATTTGCATCACCGCATCTGTCTTGCAAGGACTTTTAGAGTTCCCAACTGAAACTATAATTCCCAATTTTAATATTTCAATTTCTTTCCATTTTTCACATGAGGAATTTTTCAACTGACTTTCTCTTGTATTGTTACAGGGATTATATCTGGAAAAAGTAAAACCTGTGTCAAATAATGAAGTCTGTTATCTCTGTTTAGACTTGTGATTTCAGTACAATGGCACATAGGAAACAATGGTTACATCGGAAACAACTGTTTTAATAGTATTCAACAAAAGTAAACTAATATTAAATTTATATGGAAAAGAAATACCTGAACTCTGATGGTTTCTATATAATTAGTCCCATAAGCTCTGCGTGTGAAATCAGATAAATTAAACTGAATTTGATTCCATCCATCATCAAGACGCATTGGCATTGTACAAATAAAAGGTTTAACTCGTGTTGTGCTTTGATAATTACTGGCTCGAAAACGCCGTCGTACACCTTTATCATCCAACACCTGTTGAAAATAGAGATTTGTTTTTCATTAGAAAACTCTTGGGAAAAAAAAAAAAAAAAAAACTTGGAAAAAATAAGATTCAATCAGTCAATAGGAATAAAAAGTAGAGATAAAAAGTGTAAAGAGAGAAATGGTCAAAAGATGAAGACTGACATAAAATCTCAGTGATGTAGGTGGAGTTAGTAGTTTTTTTTTTTTTTAATGAATAACCTTAACTGAATTATTTAAAAATGTTAGAGAGAAGAAAATCCTTAGATAGTTTATTATTAAAGGAGATAAGAGTAGATATTGATGAATTCTATATATGATTATTTTCTAATTTGACATGTAGTCAGACAGATTGGCAAAGGAAGCCATTTCTATTCAGAAAGCTTAGAGGATGTTGCAAAGGATTAATCAAATCAACCATGAATATTGTCTGTTAATCAAATTTTTCAGAGTTGGTTTCCATTTAAAATGACCCTACCAAGTAAGTAAAAGTGAAAAGTATTTAGCAATGACATACCTGAACTTCAAATGTAAAGTATTTTTTCAAATTCTTTATGATCATCACCAAAAATGGCAATTTAATACCCAAAGTTTTTTTGGGATCTGCTGGACATGTGATATATGTTGTGCTGGAAAGAAAGACAAACAGGTGTTAGATGTAACAGTATTTAGGATAGAAATAATACACAAGGTTTTGGGCAGGAAAAAAATACATTAAAAACAATTAGTATATTATAACTCAGAATATTATGTACAAATTTTATAATACAAGATATTTTATTAAATCTTCTAAACTGAAAAAACATCAACATTTTATTTTGATAATTTCAATACTTCATCATATAACGGATTTTTCCTTACAAATAAAAATATATAGGATATATCTTGCAATAGATCAACAAAACTATAATTGATAATTTCATTGTAGGTGCAAACATTATTATATTTGTTGTTAATGATAGTTTCATTCTTATTCATCTACAATATAAATTACTCCAGTAAGACTTTTGGTACTTAAAAGTAGCAAATTATAACACCAATAACTAAAACATAAAAATGGAATTATATCTAAATTTAATATATTAAAAGGGATTAGAGAAATCACATCTTTGTTCAAAAAATATTCTATGTATGGAAATTGAGAATATTTGAAGCATACTTAGTGATTCAAAAGTAAAATATAGAGCATAATGAAATTCATCAGCATAACATACAGGGATGGATAAAAAAAAAGAATTGGCAGAATTAAAAATTAAACATAAAATCATGAACATTTTTCTTGCTAAAAAACTACAAATGATCTCCCTTAGAGAATGTTACCAAAATAGTTGTGGAGTGTCTTACCATGGAGCAATAGCTAGCAAGAAAAAAAACTACTGTAGTGAGTTAATTCCTCACTAGGCTCTACATTCTTGTGGCCTTGTGCCATACTTACTAAACTTAATATTAACACAAATGCAATCATTCAAGTATTTATATCCCTTTTGCATCAAATTTTCAACATACATTCACTATTTCAGGGTCAGTCAGTTGAAAATCTATTTTCATCAAAGAGAAAAGGTCACCAGATAAAGTTTCTTCCAGCTTTTAATTTACTATTAAATCTAGAAATTAAAATTAAAAAAAAAAAAAAAAAAATGTGCATGCTACATTGCAAACACTCCTAGTTTGCACCAAAGTCTAAATTACATAAACATATTTGCAAAACACCATTCATCACTCAGTGATTTCTAAAGTACAATGTAGTGACTTATAAAAAAAACAAAAAAACAAAATAAAAAAACCTTCCATTTTTTTTTTTTTTTAAGCATTTCACCCCAAGCAAGGTGGGAAGCCACTAGGACGCAAGGGGTTACAGAAAATAGCAAGATCAGATAGGAGTGATAGAAGAAAGGATGAGGGTAGTGGATAGATTAAGGCAACTGGAGATGTCGATTGACATTACACTTGAATAGCTGGAAATTATAGCTCACAGGGAAACAGGAGAAGGGAAGGGAGTTCCACAGGTGAGAGGTGCGAGACATGAAGCTATTAGAGTAGAAGAGACGGCTACATTTAGGAGTTTCGACAGTGAAGGGGTGAGAGCGGGATGCCAGCCTCGTTGGGCGCTGGAAGTCATGACGTCTGGGAACCAGTGAATGCAGCTTCTCGGAGCAATTTCCATGAAAGTATTTGTAGAACAGACAGAGGGAGGCGACGGCGAGTCTGTGAGAAAGTGACTGTAGATGAGACGCCAGGGCAGGGCCAACCATATTGCATATCCGCTTCTGGAGCCTATCAAGAACCCCAAGGCAAACAGAAGGGGCGCCAGACCATATATGGCAGCAATACTCTGGAGGATCGACTCGGGGAGAAAAACTTCCTAGTGCGGCTCAGGGAGCCAACTTTCCTTGCAGTGGACGAGGCAAATGACTCGATGTATTTATTCCATCTCAGGTCAGCAGTCAACGTGAGATCGAGAAGCCGCAGAGAGTTGCTCTCGAGAAGTTGAGCGTCAGACATTCTAATGGAGGGAAGGGAAGGCTCTCTGTGGTGATTAATAAAGAGCAGTTTTGTCTTCGAAGCGTTGAAGTTGACCAGCCAATTCATGCCCCAGTTCACAATCGATTGGAGGTCCTTTTCGAGACGCACGGCAAGGTGAGTTTTGTCAGCGAGACTAGATTTGTTTTTGAGGCAGGAATAAATTGTGGTGTCATCCGCGTAGATGCCAACTTGGGAAGTTACGGCGTCAGGAAGGTCATTTATGTAGATAAGGAATTTCAGATTTGTCTATAATGATACAATTATGGGAGGTGTTAGTTTGTTTACTGATTTGATTGTAAGAGACAAAATAAAATAAATTAAAAATTATTCAAATACTGACCCAGTTTCTTGTGATAATAGACAACAATATTAATTTTACTGTCAGTAAAAACATTTACCATAAAATTTGAACATTAAACTAAAAATATTTTTACAGAAATTAGTTTCCACAAAGTGAATATTTACAACTGACAATTTCTCAAAAATCAAATTCAGTTAAGAAATATTTATCAGAAAAATTTCACTTGCTCCAAAAAGGCTCACTTATCAGTAAAAGCATCAATTAAATTTTGAATTATATTCTGTATTACTATTAAGGTTTATATAAGTTGATGTTAAGTTCAATCTATCTAAATGTTAATAACAAAAAAGAAATGCTCAAAATGTTAAAGTTAATATTTTGAATTTACAGAGGTTTTTAATAATTGACAGTAAACATGGGCAACATTTAAACTAGGTATATGGCAGACAGAAAAGAAAGAAATATGTGAAAGGAGTCAAGAAAAGTAAGAAAGGATGGTTGTGAATAAAAGTGGGGAGTTACATACTGGGATGACAAAATAAAGCTGTATTTATATCAACTAGATGCAAACTATTGTCCACATCTTTTTTTGCTATCATCACTTTTCAGCCATTGTGATAACAAATATGGAGACAATAGTCTGCATGTAAATAATGATAATTCCTCATCCTATAAATTCAATGACATGAGAAGTAAGAAGACAAACTCTGACATAGAAATACAAGAAGAGCAAAAGATACTATTCAGAAACTAGAGTTACTGTAATAAAGAATAGCATAAGAAACAAGGAGAAGGGCGCTGATGTTTAACCCAATATATAACAGTGAATACGGTGTGTGTGTGTGGGGGGGGTGTTGAAGTAACCGAAATATGGCCCTACTCCAAAGACAAAGGGGCATCATAAAAGAACAAGTATTCTTGAGAGTAACTGAAAACAGGAAGCTGTGGAGAACTATGATTGGCCACATTCCGAAATAATAAGGAACCAAAATAAATGATTTTTTTTAAATACAATTTTGCAAATTTGGGACATTAAATAATTAGAATTTGCATTTCACTGAATAGCACAAGTTTTAAAGTCATTTTCATTAAAATAACAATGATCCAGAAATCATTTTCACTATTTGTGATAGTAAATTATATTTTTGAAGGGAAATTCTTTGGCTTTTTCATACTACAATAAGTGGTATGCAAGCAAATAAAATTGGTCTATGAAAATATGAGGCATCTTTTTAATTTTAGAAATCTTTTCTTTTTGCGTTATTGTAACAAGATTGCTGCTAGAGTTATTTATGAAGAAAAAGAATTCCATACTCAAGTAGGTATAATTCTTTAAATCATTAAAAGAAAAAAAAGAAAGAAAAAGAAACTAAGTTATATATTTTCTTTTGGTAGGATAAAGATCAAATAGGAAACATTTGCAAATCTAACAGGTTTCACTTTTATTAAAGCTTCATCAGAGAATGAGGTATGGAAAAAGAAATCCTGGGATTTTTATTTTTCTGTTGTTTGACTTTCATTGGTTACTAAAGCTTCATATGCATTTGAGTTGTTATTTCCTTTTGTGTGCATGTGTGTGACATTTTTAACCTGATTTTAATGTATAAAACTGTTGCAATTAAAACTTAATAGGTTAATGAAGTAAAGGAGACAGATGAAGAATGCTTTAAAATAGAAGAAATCCTATATTGAATAATTTCTCTGTATGAAAAGATCTTTCCAGAAAAAAAATGATGAAGGATAATAGCAAAAATTTAAAGAAAAGAGTTTAGATTAAAACAAGTCTAAGTCAGGTCACTAAAGTAAAAGTACATGTTTAATGAATTTTCTATTCAATAAGAAATAAGCCACAAGTTTTATTTTTATTTCAATTAAAAATTGAATTAAAATTGAAGTATTATTAGTTATACAGAATATTAGTGAAAATAAAAATGTATTATAACAGAATATTAGTGAAAATAAAAAAAAAAATTATTTTACAAGTAGTTAAAAAAATCATGAACAAAAGTATTCCTTGGTATAGGAAAATCGCATGTCAATATATTTCCTATAGAACCAGATCATAATGAAATAGGAACCATGTACTTATGAAAATTAAGTATTGAATAAATCTTGGAATAATTTGCATTCCTCATATTCTTAACTTCATTTTATTTTTGTTTTTAGCAGAATGTTGTTAGTTTCATTCAAGAGTTTAAATTTTAAATAATAAAAACACTTTTTGCATGAAAATGTTTTGAGAATATACAAGTTATTATTTTTTAAATTTTTCTAAAAGAAAAAAACCTTAATTAACAAGAACTAACCATACTGTTAGTTAACTAATACAATGTATTGGTATACTCGGGTAAAGAAGTGTGGTAAAATTTGATAATAGCAAAGAATTATCAGCTAAGGGAGGTAATGTCGGTTTTCCATCAAACAGCATGTACCTAAATAAATGTCAAATATTGAAAAAATTAAATTGAAACCATTAATTTTTAGCAACCGTGAATGCCTGGGTGTCGAAATTTACTATATATATTTTTTCGTTAGACAGCTTTTAAATACCACCCACAAATTATAATTGTGTTAAAAAATGTAAGAAAACAAAGACAATTTTAAATAATTTAATCAGGTAAAAAAAAGAAAAAAAAAAGAAAAAAAAGCTTAATTTACTTACAAGCTAAAAACCGAAAACGGTATGTACAATTTGGAATGGAAAAAAATTAAACCAATTTTATTTTATTTAAATGTTGGAGAGCTATGAAATTCATGTACAAAAAAAAACAAACAAACAAACAAAACAACCACATTGTTAACCAGATCTCAATTCAACTTTAAGCCACGTAAAAAGCTCACTTGCATATCCAGAAGGAGGAACTTCAACAAAGTAAGGCTTTGATGAAGTTATTTTGTTGAATTTTAGTTGCCTTTGTTAGGATAAAAAAAATCATTAGCCTTGTGCCATACAAAGTTAACTTGGAATGGATCTTTCTGTTTACTTCCGGTGAAAACAAACGAGAACAAGACATGTAACATTTGTGTAGAAGAGAAAACTAAAAAAAAAAAAGCTAAAATGAGTAACTTATTGAATTATATTTTAATTTTATCTTATTAGCTATTTAATCAAGCTATTATTTGCATTTAAAAATAGATCCACTGACCGATTCAAACATTAATTTCTGAGGCAAAAATTTTTATTTGCATTTTTTTTTAATAATGCAATTACAAAGATTATTACAAAAAAATTAATTACCTTATTTTTATCAAGACTATTACAAAAACGTATAAAGAAAAAAGTTAAAATATTTTCACTTTTCAGCAAATCAATCACAAACTGAATTTTCTTCATGAAGTAATAAACTTTGGATTATTTAATTTGGTGTTTTTTACAATCGAGAAATCTCGTCGGATAAGGAGTTCGACTTTGTCTTGTTTTGTTTCTAAAATAAGCTTACTTAATCCGACTAATTTGGGATATTAGTTAAATTTTATAATTAAAATCTTTGCGAAAATAAAGCGGCAAATGTACTGTTATTTTGTCTTGTTTACAAAACAAATGAATTTCTAAATCCCACTTTGATGTGATTCCAATTTCTTTAAAATTAAGAAAAGAGACTTATGAAGCAAAAAAAAAAAAAATATTAATCTTCATTATTTTAATTTTTTTTCTTTTTACTTCTACAGCTAATTAAATTATTTAAAATAAACAAATTAAATACAATTATTTTACAATTATATTGGTTAGCAACAGCTAAAAATAAGCACTGAATTTGTCATCTTTTTTCTTCAAAATTCGAATATAAAGTATTTACTATTTATATATTAATTTACTAAAAAGAAAAAAAATAGTTTGCATCGGTAACAAAAAAAAATCAAATCAAAAAAAGATGATTTATGTGATTACAGTAATTTCGTTCTGACAAAAAAGAAAATAGTTTTTTGAAAATGAACAAGGAACAGGCATCTTTGCTATTATTTATCATTGAAATAAAAATAATTTCTTTTCTCTAAATGCATACGAAACAAAAACTTTCCTTTTTACTTGATTAAAAAGTCAAGACAAAGACGACTATACAACACGTGTGTGTAGCCATTTTTTCTCTTTTAAAAAATAGTGTCGAACAAATAAAATATTTGTTAATAATAATAAAAAAGTTACCTGACATTTGTACCAACAATTTCCAGCACAAGGGACTGAATATCATTGTCTGTTATTCGTTTAATATGACCATTCCGTACCTTGAAAATAAAATAGAGTCAAGTGTTCATTCATTTTTTTTCTACACCTCAACTTTTATTACAAAGAGAAATAACACTATAACAGGAAAATAAAATAAAAAACACTTTTAAATATAACTAAAAAATGTTCTTTTTTTATCGATTGGCTTTTTCATATGTTCGAATAGAAAATCTTTTTAAATGTAACTGAATATTTTTTTTATTTACGAACGAAAGTGGTTGTGAAGCAACCATCTTACTCGTAAATAAAACAAAATAAGACTTTAAGTTTAGACAAAAAAATACTCACTTTTTTATCCCATATTTGAAGAGGCTTGCTTCCAACACTATATAAAATCGACAGAAAACCACTCTGAAAAGTATTTTTAAACATTATGATACTAAAATGCCCTATTATTCACACATGAGAACAAGTTCTGCAGGCTACTCTCATTGCTTGACTTTCGGATTGCATCAATCAAAACACGTTGCTATGTAACACAGCACGCTTTATTTTTTGCATTGACAATAACTAGTGCCGAAGTTATTTTATTAATTTAAATAGTTTTATCTGTTATTACGCATGTAAACATATATCAAATGTCAACAGGGGATCTACAACACAAATTATTATTAATAAAAGTAATGAAGATCATTCTAATAAATTTATCATAATTATCTTTTACACCAAATTACTCAGTGGCGTAGGAATAGTTTCCTCGGTAACACTAACAGACGTGACAACAACAATAATAAAATACCCCAAACAAATGAATGAAATTCCAATTAAAAGTTTATTAACAATGCTTCATCAAAGATATTTGAAGAATATTATTAAGCATATATTTATTTTGTATTTGAAAATATATTTATTCATCATTAATATTCTTTTATTAGTATTTTGAGGAATTTAATTTTTCTAGTCATTTTAATTTCACAATTTAATAAAGAGTAAAGAAAGACTATCGATTTTATTTTATTAACAGAAAGAGTTGTAATAATGAAAAATATGCACTGTGAAAAGAGTAAAAACTAAAATTTTCATATGAAAGAATCGTATTAATTAAATCTCCCCCTTTTAAAAATCTTTAAATTGATTAACATGTAAATTATTACATTTTAAACGACTAAGCAAATCCGAAAATAAGCCTGTTTAATTATAAAGTTACATAATTTAATAAAATTGTTAAAATGAAAATAATTTAAGGTGGGATGATAATTAAGGGGAGAGAAAAAGATTAAGTTGTCTCCCGCTTCAGATTAGGACCCCCCCATCTACCCTCATTATTTATGTGCTGTGTTTCATTTAGGGTGCACACTAATATGACTCTATAACTTCTTGACCCTTACAGTTCTAAGCAACATTTGACTCTCGACCATTCCTCCTTTTCCCTGTATCTTTTCACACAAACTCATTCGATTAGTTGCTGGCTGTTTTGCAAAAGGGAATTTGAAAATCCATTTTTTTGTATATTTTCGAAGTCCCGACATGGATAAAGGCAGATTCAGAAAGTGTCCAATAATTCCTTTGGTAATTTCCATCTGGGATGCATCAGGGATGGACTGTGACTTTAGTCCAAGTTCAATGGGTGGAGGTGCAACCTGGGGAAATAGCTCCTTGGTACTGGAGTTTGGTTAATTTTCATCTCAGTTCTTATAATGGGATAAAAAAGTAATAGTATTTATCTGCATGATCACTCAAACACCATATTTAAAATGGATTTGTTTTCTTTCTACTTGAAGGTCCTTCAACCACTATATGGTTATTTAAGGACAGATAAAGGTTTTGAATCATGGTTATTTTGTATAAAGCCTGATGTTATAGGTGGATCAGTGATAGTTATGGGCACAGGTTAATTGGAGAAAGTTTTTTTTAATCAGAAGTTATTTTGTATTCAATTTCTTATACAAGTTGGTTATTAGAGTTTACATCGTTATTTTTAGTAGGGATATTTATGAAGACTGAAGGGTTCTTCCTTTTTTTTAATTTCCAAAATATATTACAGGTTTTATGTACTTTTGTTGGGAGTTTTATAGTTTAAAATAGGAATCACATATATAACAAATAGGAATCACATATATAACAAATAGGAATCACATATATAACAAATAGGAATCACATATATAACAAATAGGAATCACATATATAACAAACTTGTTTAGTTCACTCCCCTTCCACCACCACTGCTCTTCTTTTTTGAGATGCTTCAAACCACAGTGCTTGATCCTGACCCTCCCCACTTTTAGAACAATAGTGAAAGACATGTCCCCCTGTAATTGATCTTTGGTCAATTTGTGTTTCTGATCCCATTAAGGAGTTGAAAAGTGATTGCTTTTGGAGTTTAATTCCATTATTGTTATTGATTGAAAAATATTGATCATTTTGTTCTGATTGATCAGGAAATTTTATCTTTATTGGTGTCCTAACTTTTGTTTTTGATATTTTGATTCTACGATTTTTATAAAAATGATTTTTGATTGTTTGTATTTTGAAATTGATAGTGATTAATGTTAAAATACCTTTTCTCATCTCAGTAAATAATCCAATATGGCAGCATTTTATGATCAACTGACAGCTTTATCTTGAAACCACTCTGTCTCTCAAACAATTTACATATTAATTTTTCTCTCTGTTTTAATTTTTGCATTTACTATTCTAGATCAATCTCTACTAATAACAGCTTCTAGACCAATCTCTACTAATAACAGCTTTTAGCCACTCTATAGATCCTCTTCTCTTGGTAAAGCAAGATTGTGGTAATATGCAGTGTTCAATGTAATTAGATGACTGGTGATTGGTTCAAAATAGTGTGATGGACTTCACCACATTAATTTAACTTAAATTAAGAAACCAAACTGATGTGAAGAAAAAGAGGATAATCCAAAGACATCATTACACATAAAATTTGTATTTAACAAGATGTACAAACAAGGATGTGAAAGAAAAACATGCATTGAGTAAAATAAGTGTTGTCTCTCTTTAACTATTAATTGTGTTCCAAAATTCACTGAAAGAAAGAAGGTTGTGATAGTTTTTGGTAATAAATGTTTTCAACAGTTTTGCTGTGTAAGGAAAATATTATGTGAGTGTAGGGAATATTCAGCATGTGAGTGGTGGTGTGAGTAAGAAGATTGGCACATGGTTTCAACTGTCGTGGATTCGTTTGGCAGCTGAAATCTCACTAATTATCTAAGAATATTTCTTGCTTATATAGGTGATCATCGGCTCTGAAGCACTGCGTATAAAGAATCATTCTTCACGTGCAGACAATCTGATTGGTTGGCATTGACCAATCAGCGAGTGAGGTTTTGGGGAGACTCATGAAAGCTTCTGGGATCTGATTCTCCCAAAAGTGCATGAAATCGACTAAATGAAAATATAGTGATTATAAACTTGTTTCATAGCTGTGATTTATATATTGTCCATTACACAGTAGTGTTGATTTATTATCCAATGAATGCTTGTTGTTGTATAATTTGAATTTGTGTATGTATGTATGTATGTATGTATGTATGTATGTATGTATGTATGTATGTGTGTGATAATGGTCATCACAATAGGATCAAGCAATTTATTCTAATTCAGTAGGCTGAAGACAAAGCCACTAAAATACACATACAATAGTGTTGATTTATTATCCAATGAATGGAAAAATATTTTAAACCAATTACAATATGGAGTAACTTCCAAAAACTTAATTTACCAGCCTCCAAGTGTTATAAAGCTTTTTATAATAATCAATTATTTGACTCAGAAGGGCCAGCTCGAATCAATACCAAGTCATCTACATCTTGTTGGTTTGTTATTACTCACAGTACATGTTACCAAATCTACAATCAACAGAAAGCAACTTTTTTTTTCATATTTTTAGATTCAAAGCCACAGTTTCATTAAATTTGGTTGCTACAGGAAAACTAGTTTCAAGTCAGGGTATTTTTTCTGTTTGTTGGTCCATGCAAAAATTCCTAACATGCCAAGTAAACACAGAAACATATAGTGTTTCTTCTTATCAATCAATAGAGCCATATTTCTAAGAAGAGATCTTGCTTTCAAGACAATAAGTAAATAAAAGCAGATGGGCTATGCAGCCTTCAACAAGTGTACAGAACAGTTGTAAATCACACAATGAAGAGAGGCACACTCAACAGATTAATCCATACCACAGCAATTGTAATGAATCAGCCAGACTCATCATGTAAGACTTTTTGCTGTCCTAAAGCAAACCTTAGATCATCACCGAGGTGAGGAGTGCCTCATCATTTCACAAAAAATGAATCAGACCAAAATCACTCAAGAAACAAGTCCAATATAGTTGCATGTCATTAAGCACCTTTATACTGGAAATAATTTGAGTACCAAACAATTTACATATTAGTAATATGAATAGGCACTTTCGATGTGGTGTAATAGTTAGCAAGTTTGTCTCACTAGAACAATTATGACTGAATAGTGAGTTTGATCCTCCCTGGGAGCCCTATACTTTTGACCTTAGAAAATCACCATATCAGCACCATGAATGCTAGAAATGCACTAGTTCAAAGAAAATGGTTTATTTGTCTACATTGTATTTTTATAAATACAAACAATCCGGACAATAAGATGTATCTCTTTATTCTAATTGCTCATGGTTCTATATTTATTTTGGGATTTCTCTCCATGAACTTCTGTTGAGAAATGCAGCCTATCTATTATTGTGATTGTGTTCTTAGCTGGTTACTCTGCACTTATAGACTTATGCCAGACTATTATAAACTTAGTAAATATATATTTTTGAAGGACACCTTCATATGGAGCAGTGGATAAAACATCAGTTTTGTACACCACTACTATTGCAATATCTTTGATCATCACTGGGTATTTCATGCTCATAACCTTGTGTCTGACTATGCTAAGCTTAGTAAATAGAATTTAGAATTTTACATTTCATTTACTAAGAATTATCATTTTTATTTCATTTTTTTATAGTTTTGATGAACTGTAAAAAAAATCTTCCTTAATATTCAATAAGTGACCAGAATTTATGACTTCTACAAAATGTGGTTGTCAATGTTAAACTATGAAAAACTATCAGCTGTTGATTCCGTGAATTTTATGATTATCATAGTCAGTTTGTTATTTGTAGATTCAGAAATATTCCACTAGTTTAAAGGTGAACACACTTCAATATAGTGGCAAACTTTGATCTTCATGTCTGCAAAAAACCCGGAATGTCAAAAGGACGTTTTTTTTCTATTGACACTGCTCTTATTTTAACTACCTTCACTCCTTGGCAATGTTCATTGTTTTAAAAACCTTTTATGTCTGCTATTAGCTAGACTCCAGGAGAGCAACACACTGGGCCTTCTTGGCCTCATGTTTTCCACTTGAGGTTGAGTGACTACATCAAATCAATAGCTGCATCTACTGCAAGGAAAGTTAGAATCTGTTTTTCTTGTCTGAATCCATTTTGCACATTTACAAATTAACTATTTATCCATGCATGAAAAATTGCTGCCATATCTGTTCTGTGCTCCAGCTGTACATCTTGAGATTGTTAACAAAATCCAAAGATGGAACTGTAATGTAATTAATACTGATCAGGCATCTAGACTTCAGTCACTTTCTCACTGACATGAGATGGCTTCCCTCTCTCTTTTCTACAAATATTTTCATGGCATCTGCTCTGACAAGCTTTTTCCCTTGGTGTACTAAATACATAAATTTAAGTGTGCTACTAGGTCACACTGTTTTACTGTTGAAATAGCTAAATGCAACCGCCACTTTGCGACTTTTTCACACATGCACACGCACACATGTATGTGTATCTCCAACCCACACAATTTCTAAGTTTTAATATCTTCTTTCTTTATATGCATAATAATGTATTTTCTGTCATTTATTACTAAGTTAATTGATCAGGTGGATTAGTGCCTTTAAGTAAAATTCATCTTCTCATAGAGTCTTGAAATTTTCATATATGCTCAGTTTTGTAGTCAAATGTAAACAAAATAGTTTTCTAAAGAAGTCATGGATTTTTTTTATTAAGCCAACAAATTTTATCAGTTTAAACATTATCGTTTAGGGGATACCCATATTTGAGTAGATGCTCCATTTATTTATTTACCAAATAGTATAGCATATTTGTTTATTTTTGTTTATCGGCTCTAATATTTGAGAAAATCTTATTAAAGAAAAATATTCAGTATCTGGCAGGATTCAAATCTGCATCCTCCTGGTCAGACAGAAGGACTTGTTATTAGATCTGATATGCTCTAGACTGACTGAGCTACAATTCCATTACTTCTTTAGAAAATTGCTTTGTTTACGTTTGGATATGAAACTGAGCAAATATGAAAATTTTGAGTGTATATGAATTTATATGAAGGCACATTTCAAAAGAGAAATTCATCTTTAATTACATATACTGGGATTCTTTTAATTCCATCTTGTTTGGTATAAGATTATCCAGTATGACTGATTTAATTTCCACTTGGTAGAGTCTGATTAAGAAAGAAAAATAATTCTTGAAATTGGTGTGAATCTAGAACTGTTGTGAGATACTTTAGAAGAGTAGTGATTGGTTTATATTAACCAATCAACATCTTTATTCTATGTAACACTTGGTTAGCAGTAGAAGTATTAAATGTAAGGTTTTGTAAGTTTAAAATTTTGGATTATCTCCCTTTCACTAGAGTTTTTTTTTAAATTTTTATTTTTACCTTTTTATTATTTTTTTTATTTGTTATATTATAGTGTTTGTGAAAAAAAGCTTTAAGAATCTGTATAAGATTTAGTAAAACAAACAGATTCAGATTATAGTGGACACATGATGAGAATATATTCTGTTAATTAGTCAATTTTAGACAAAATAAAACCTCTTTTTACTGAAAATTATTAAGCTACAATATTCCAACTGAGTGGATATCAATGTAACAAACTTAAAATTTATGGAGAAAGGTAAAAAGTACACAGTATATAAAACCTATATCAAGTTATGAATCTGCAAAGTTTTAGCTTTTAAGCATGGATAGATATTAAATTATGAGAAATTTTGCACTCTTCAAGTAACAAACTTTCAAATAGAGCCTAGTATTTTTCTGTTAAATATTTGTGTGCATTTTGTTTCTATGTCTGCATGCCAGGTATAAATAAAAGGGCAGTGTTATTGAGTAGTCAGTCCACATGATAGTCTGAGTAGCAGTCGGTGTAACAATCCTAGTTGAAGGATTAAGAGGAGCTATTCAGAAATCATCCTGTGTCTAGTCGATTTCCTGTTGTATGAATACTGTCTTCATTCGAAGAAACTAGACTAGAAAAAAGAAATCAAGAATTTTTGTAAAATGCCAGAACAATTTCTAGAATATAAAAAATTTGAATTTACACTTTACCTACTTCTTTTTTCCTTTTGTTTTTCTTTGTCAATGAGTTGAATATTTTTCCAAGGCTAAATTTTCACCACAAAACCATAGCCTCAAAGAAATTGGTTGAAATGAAATGTGTTAAAAGGGACAACAATTGAAATCTAGCAGGTAAGTAGATTGGCAATTTATTTGTCATTCTCTAATAGTAAAATATGATACAATGCCAATTTTTAATTTGGGTGATCTATATACTTACATGAAATATAGTTGTAGGTAATATTTTAAAAGTAGGACTTTCAGAAATTGTTTTATTGTGCCTCTTACATCTACACAAATCAGATGTTGGCTGCTTGAGAACCCAAAGCAGAGTGCATAAATACATTTTTGTACACTGATCTCATGTATATATCTGCTTTAACCAAAACAAAATGAACAATATATTATGACCAGTCAGAACCACTCCTGCTCAAAAGCTAAAATCTGCTGTGTCAATGGTAACAAAAAAAAAAAAAAAAAAGAGAGCATTTGCTCTACAGTACACTTTCTGTCTTTCCAAAGTTCAAAGGTTATTTTCTTTTTTCTTTTCTTTCTGATGGAGACAAAGTTCTCTTTTCGTTGGTGACCAATCTCCCTTCTTTCTCTTCTTATCTTCCTCCCGTCTGAATGGAAAGTTCTCCTTTCTTTTACAGCTGCAGAAGGGGAAACTTACTAAAAACACGTGGTAATTTTCAAAAATAATAAAAACACAACAAGAAAAACAAAATCTGTCTATATCTCTGAGATGAGGTATTATGATTACTTACATTATTTACATTATTCGGACTGTTATCCTCATCTTCATTGCCATATTCTTCAAGGACCCAGTGGATAAAGATGTTGGTTAGATCCAGTGACTAGACCCAAAGAGTTGTGAGTTTCATACCAGGCCACAGCAGTGGTGAGCCAAACTTGGAGAGTTGAGTTAAAGGGAAATGACACATGGAACTAGAAAAATTTACCCCAGTGGAGGAAATAACGAGTTTGGTTCGAAATCCAAATCACCTGAAGAAGGCTGGAATGTACAACAGCCGAAACGTTGTGAATATGGCAATGAAGATGAGGATAACAGTTCGAGTGATGTAGATAATTAAGTAAGAAAAATAAAAGTGAAAAATAACAAAAAAAAATAGAAGTGTAGCGTCAAACTTCAAATTTAAAGAAAGGCGGGAAAATATAATTTGAAATATGTCGTCGTAGAGTAGACATTATGAGCGCAATTGAAATATTTAAACCATTAAGCACCTTAAAGAATTTTTTTCTATCTTTTAGTTAGTAAAATAAAATTTATTTTAAAATAAAAATGAAAAACTTTTGTAGTAATTTTTTTTACCGTTGGCTTTTAGATGAAAAACGAAACTACCGTTGTCGAATTTAAGAATTTTAGTTGAATTTATATTCGATTCTTTACGTAAAAAAACTAAAAGTAATGATAAACTTATTTAATTAATTAACTATCAGTTGCACACGCACAAGATTAATGTCACGTTTTAGCACGTGGAATCTAATACGAAATTAAGTGATAGATTTCGAAAATAATTTTACTTATTATGGATGGGGGAGAAACACACCCACAGCAACAGATATCGGATGGGGGAATTCATTTATTAATAAACATAATTAAAGAAGAAGAAGATCGCTAATATCAGGAAAATAACTCATTTCAGTTTCTGTACAGATCATATGTATTTGAATTAAATGTAAGAAGAGAGAAAAGAAATCAAGTAAAAAGTAACACAAACTTCTTGATTTTTGTTGTTGTCCTGGGTAACCTTAGTGATGCAAAGATGGCGTCGTCGTCGTCAGTCAGTGTGTTTTTGTTAAACGTTAGTGGACAAATTGAATCGGCTGAGGTATGTTTATAACCCACATATTTACGTACTATGAATTCGAGTAAATCAAGTAAATTGTTTTTTTTTTTTGTTTTTTTTTAGCAATTTAGTTTTGGTAAATGATTGCATGAAGTTATTTTTTAATAATATCGACAGATATTTCTTCGTAAAAAACAACTTTCGTTGTTGCCGCGGTAACAACAGCAATAATAATTAAATAATTATGAATAAATTAAATAACCAATTCTTGATCTTTGCTTCCAGAAAACAAAAATAAAGCAATATCTACAAAAATAAAATTTGAAACAAAAAAATTATTTTATATTTGGTATTAAAAACTTGGATTTCATAATTTCATTTACGACTTGTTGAAATTTTCAACTTTCTTTTTTATGTGTTTTATGATTGAAAAGAAAACTTTTTAAAAATTATTTTCATAGGTTGGCATTTATACGATTTAAAAAAGATTGATATTATTTTGGAAGATGTTTACATTTTTAAAATAAAACTGGAAAAACAAACTGGATTGAAAATTTGTCCCTTCCCCCAAATTTTGCTTTTTATTTTTTAGACAATTTTTAAATTTAAGATTTAATTTTCGCTGACAACCACCTAAATCATTTTTAATTACACTAGTGCTGAATGTTGTTTTATATACTAAAATCCAGCAATAATTTGTCTTTATTCCGAGTAGAGTGTGAGAATGATAGTTGTTTTTATTGTGAGCATCTTAGTCACTTGTCACAGATATTCAGAAAACTTAAAACGATTACTTGGTTACTTATTTTAGGACATCATTTTACTTACAATTATTGCCACGTGTCGCAAACAATAGTCAGTGCATTATTTAAACAAGTTAGCGATAAATAATCAACAGTGTCTTTTTATATAGCCATCTGTCACTAATTTATTAATTATTTACTCACCCCTAACAGTGGTGGGATGTGGCATAAGACATTTGTAAATTGGGGTTATCAATTATTGCCAACTAAGATGTTTGACCTAGCATTCCTAATGGTAAAACCATACTTGCAGTTTTTCTTCATTTAGCTTTAACGATAAATTTATCATTAATTTAATAATCTAAAAATTTTGATATTTTTCATTCTGATTGAAAAAAAGAGTGGATCTTCTGTGCATATAACAGCATATTAGTCATCCAAAACAGTTACACTAGAAATGATATTGCAATTGTAAGGCATCAGCCACCTTGCCATGTGGGTTACCCCCACTTGGCTTTGCTAGGTTCGCCAAGATGATGTGAGGTGGTGCTGTTAAATAGCTATAAAAATGAGACACTCCTTGTTTCTTCCTCTTTGTCTTCTAGCTTGCAGTAGAAGTAACACCAGCACAAGACTTATTCCCAGCATGGGGATATCTTTCCCCTGAATGACTGAACTTTCACATATGCATGTATGTTACTCACACATGCAGACACACATGAATCCTAATTGCTAAATTTAATGTTTTTATTATGGATGTATGTTTTCATATTACTAAGTGTATGGTGGTACAATGAAGAAGAAACAACAAAAATTTAAAGCAATAAGCAATTGTATTAACATAAAATATAATAAATGAAAGATCAGGGTAAACACTCTTGTAAGAAAAAAAGAGACAAGTAGAGTTCTAAAAGGCATCCAGTGAGCTGTACAGAAGGAGCGGGAGGATAAGTTATGACTTACTGGGTTGACAGTGTTGGATCTTTGTAGATGGTTGAGCTTTGTAGATGTCTTTGGAGATAGGAGATCACTTTTTGATGAGCTTGTGACTGTGTCTTTGATTAGCTTTCATTTTGTTTCTTTAGGCAGGAGTGGCTGCTATTGGGTAGAAATTTCGGATTTTATTTTATTTTCTTTGAGTGCATGAGTAAAGGGAAGATGTGTCCTGAGCCTTGCACAACTGACAAATTTTTATTTTAGTTTTCACATCCAGTTATTGGTAAAAATTAGGGTAGCATGAATCAGAAGATCTGATTTTGGGTAGAATGTGACATTTTCTTCCTTTTCAGCTATATTTACAAGCATACTAGTGTATTTTCTCTTCTTTGTTAAGCCATTAATAGTTGTATAAAAACATGAAAATATTGCCTTGTTGAAATTTATCCCATTTCCTTTCACTTCTACTGACAATAACGACCCTTCATTTTCATGTGTAAATTTTGATTGCCACTGCTTTTAGTCGAACTAGGAGCAGTACTGCAATGCTACACATGTACTGGATGTAAATAACTTGGAATACTTTTATTTATATTATTTACATTTGGACTAATGATTAGTTATTGCTAAACCTGTTACTACTATGTCTGAGTCTCTACTACCCAGCCTAGTCTGTGAATTTGGTGATATACTGTTGTAGTGTATTCCCTCTAATGAATCTATTATGGACTCTTCCACTTACTATAAAGTAGTAGGAAAAGTAAGCCTCGGGGGTGGAATGGTGATATAGATTGAACACTGGTCAACTGATACACACTCCCAAGTCATATAACACATTTCTGTTGTATTTACTGTTCAATACACTACTTATCTGCAACGTCTTGTTTTGTTATTTCTTAACCAATTACTTGGTCACAACATATACCAAGACATCGACAACAGAATGAGAACAATCTGTCTCTATGGATTAAATAAATGGTTCAGTTTGTAATATCCTGCAGGCATCTGAAGAAAGCCTGAAAGAACAATGGCCAAAACATGATAATAACAACAATGGCCAAATGAGAATGTTAGTCTGAATGTAAATAATGATAACTCATCATGCCATAAATTCAAACACAAGTTTGGGAACTGTTGTTTTAAATTCTATACAAGAAGCAAATTCAATTACATTTCAGAATATGCAGTTCATAAAAGATTTTGAAGCATCTTGCAGTTGTAAAGGAAAAAGTGCAACAATAAAAATGTTCAACTTTTATTCAGGCTTTTATAAAAAGATCCTCTATTGTGTGTCTTGTTTATAAAATTTCATCTGCTTATTAAAACTTTGTTCATTCCCAGGCTCTCTATTTATTGTTTTCTTAAAGTTCTAATTTTTTTTAATATAAATTCTTTCTATATATTATTCTACATAAAATACTTTTCTTTGGTATCTTTGAGATACTGAATTTCGATGTAATTCATTTGATGTAAATAATTTTGTATGTTTCATAGCTAAAACTTGTTAACCATTGCACTTTACCCTTTTCTTATTTTCTTCTTTTATAGTTTCTTGAATTTGATGATCTTTATTGTCGGTATTCTTTTGTTTATGGATCAGATTGGGCCATTACCTCTGTAAGTATATTATAGCCTAAATATATATATATATATATATATATATATATATATATATATATATATATATATATATTTATGTGTGTGTGTTAATGGCAAAGTGGGAAAACCCATCATTGTGTAGAAAGTTTCAAGTCAATGTATTAAATAAAATTGTGTCCACATATCTTAGGTGTTTTGTAGATTATTTTAGACAATAAGTGAAACTACCAAACTGCAGTTAATTGATTGTCATTAAACATTTATTTCCTTTGTGCAAGCCTTTGTCTTTTTACAATAAATAGATGAAAATTGTACAAAGTTCATCAGAATATCTTTATTTAGTTTAGACTTCAGTTACAAATTCATTAATCATTTTTTTTTATCATCTTTGTTTTCTATTAGATTTTTTAACAGTTTGGATTTTAGAAGTTTGAGATTAATAAAGTGTGCCCCTGTTGTTTTATGCTTTGCCAAAAAAATACAAGATGTTCTATAGAATAATAATGCAAGATTCTATTTTATCTTTAGAGAGAAATATAAAGGAGTGTGTCTTAAAGGCAAAATAGAACCTTGCTTTATTGTGAAGTTCTTCATAGTTGAGTGGTAAAAGGACATTGGATCAGGGGATCATTTTCTTTATTAAGTTTTCTTGAGTATGCAGACCTGTAGATGAAATAGATACTGTTTAAAATAAAGGGAGCATCTACTCAAATATGGGTATCCAATAAAAATAATGTTTATAATATATATATGGGGTGTCCCCCAAAATTTGACATCATTTCACAGGCCAATAATTTTGGCAATTCTTGTTGAAATAACCTCAAATTTTCACTGAATATATAGAAACAGATCAAGATTTTACATTTAATGTTTTATTTTTGTTATCTCAATGAGAATCTGCCAGAGAGATGGATTGGACGTGGTGGAGATGAAGACAGTTTTCTGATGAAATGGCCACTGCAGTCACTGGGCATGTCCCCATGTGATTTTTTTTTATGGGGATATGTGAAGGGACCGTTCAATGTCCCCCTCTTCCTGCTAGCATTGATGAGCTCAGGCAGAGAATGACTTTGGCACTGGATAATGTTACCAGAGACATGCTACAGCCTGTTTGGCAAGAGCTTAATACTGACTTGACATGTGCCATGTCACAGGCAGTGCACATATTGAACAATTATGAAATTTGTCCCAGAATAAACTTATCAGGTTCAACACCTAAACTGTTCAATTTCATTGAGCTAGACTCAGTAGTTTTCAAGATAATTGCTTTTAAAATTATGTCAATTTTTTAGGGACACCCTGTATATATATATATATATATATATATATATTTAAAATTTCTATTTTTTCCTTTATTTATTTATTTATTTGAAAAAAAAAAATGAACCCTACCTACACCTCATTTCCTGCACCTTTTGTACTATTTTATTTTTGGTCTATGAAGCAGCGTTCCTCCCATGTGATATCTGTGTATTTTTATAAATCATAAGATAAACTTTGTGCGCGATGAGCTGGAAAAAAGTTGCACACCAAAACATAGGTATATGCATATTTATTAATATATATATATATATATATATATATATATATATATGAGTTAGGATCAACTATGGATTGGAAACCAACAGAATGATAGTATAAAGTAGAAATAAGAAATGTTTATCAATCTAACATGTTTCATTTTTATTAAAGCTTTGTCAGAGACTGAGGTATGGAGAAAAAGAATGAAATTCTGGTATATTTATTTGTGTTATTTGATGTTCATTAGTCAGTCATGTATCAAGTACAGTCAGATCTTAAACCAATGTTAGTATAATTTGTAATGTTCTGAATTTTTTAGAAATTAACTGACTCCAAGCTTACCTGAAAAAAACCCATAAATATTGCTATATATATGTAAGTTTATAAAAATTCTAGTTTGTTTATGTGTGTGTCTAGTAGACATTATGTTTGTTTGTTTTCATATATTGATTTGTGAATGTTTTTACATGTATACTGTTTGTTTTAGATAAACATACATTAGATTCCTTAAGAATGTATTCAATAAATATTAGTGATATAATGTTTTTTGATCTGTGCTTATAGTCGGTAATATTGTTATTATTAAGCTCTCAAAGTACATTCTCCTTAAAGAATTATGTTCTTTTTTAATTAATATATATATATATATATATATATATATTTATTTATTTATTTATTTATTTATTTTTTTTTTTAAGCGTTTCACCCCAAGCAAAGTGGGAAGCCACTGTCACGCAAGGGGTTACAGAGGATTTGGAGTGAGAGCAGATAGGAGTGATAGAGGAAAGGATGAGGAGAAGGATAGTGGATAGATCAAGGCAACTGGAGATGTCGATTGATATTACATTTGAATAGTTGGAGATTATAGCTCTGATGGAAACTGGAATAGGGAAGGGAGTTCCACAAGTGAGAGGTGTGAGACATGAAGCTATTGGAGTAGAAGAGACGGCTACATTTAGTAGTTTCAATAGTGAAAGTGTGAGAGCAGGATGCCAGCCTCGTAGGGCGTTTGAACTCATGAAGTCTGGGAACCAGCGAATGCAGCTCCTTGGAGCAATTGCCATGAAAGTATTTGTAAAAAAGACAGAGAGAGGTGACGGCGCATCTATGAGAGAGCGACTGTAGACGAGATGCCAGAACAGGGCCAATTATAATGCATATCCGCCTCTGGAGCTTATCAAGAACTCCAAGGCAAACAGAAGGGGTTCCAAACCATATATGGCAGCAATACTCCATGCAAGGGCGAATTGTTGATTTGTAGATCTGGAGGATCAATTCCGGGGAGAAAAATTTCCTGACGCGGCACAGGGAGCCAACTTTCCTTGCAGTGGACAAAGCAATTGACTCAATGTATTTGTTCCATCTCAGGTCAGCAGTCAATGTGAGACCGAGCAGCCGCAGAGAGGTGCTCTCGAGAAGTTGAGCATCAGACATTCTAATGGAGGGCAGGGAAGGATCTCTGTGGTGATTAATAGAGAGCAGTTTTGTTTTTGAGGCATTAAAGTTGACCAGCCAATTCCTGCCCTAGTTCACAACCGATTGGATGTCCTTTTTGAGACGCACGGCCAGGTTAGTTTTGTCAGCGACACTAGATTTGTTTCCGAGGCAGGAGTAAATTGTGGTGTCATCCGCATAGATGCCAACTTGGGAATTTATGGCGTCAGGAAGGTCATTTATGTAGATAAGGAATAGAGTGGGGCCTAGGATGGAGCCTTGAGGAACACCTACGTTCGTGGGATAGGAACTGGAGGAGAATCCGTTGAGAACAACCTTCAATTCATGGTTTGACAGGAATGATTGTATGAGGTCAAACAATCGACCCGTAATGCCATAACCCTGGAGCTTGCGAAGAAGGCCGACTGGCCAAACCCTATCAAACACTTTGGAGATGTCTAGGGCTATGGCACGAGCTTCCCCGTTGTTTTGAAGAGCTTGGTAGACAGTTTCAGTGATGGTTGTAAGCACATCAGCTGTAGATTGGGCAAAGTGGAAGCCATATTGCTTGTCTGAGAGCAGATCATGGGATGTAAGGTGGTTAACCACTTCTGTATTGATTAGGGCTTTGAAGACTTTGCCGAAGAGGGGTAGGAGACTGTCAGGACGGTAATTAGAAGGGTCAGAGGGGTCGCCAGAGTTCTTGAAGACAGGAACAATTGGAGAGGACTTCCAGCAGTCAGGAAAACTAGATTCCTTGAGGCAGTAGTGATATAGTTTAGAGAGGGCGGGCGCCAGTTCAGGCGCGCATTTCTTTAAGACAATGGCTGGTATCCCATCTCCACCACTAACTTTGTTGGGGTCTAAATTGGAGATAATGCCCAATACCAAAGACAGAGTTATGTGTAACCCACTCAATAGGGCCTCAGTTCTAAGAGGGAAGTTGGGTATGGGTACACTGGAAGAGTCGAGCGTCGAGTTGAATGAAAATTTCTGAGCAAAGCATTCAGCCTTGTCGGCAGAGGAGGTCAGGATTTCAAACTGGTTGAACAAAGGAGGTATAGAGGGTTTGCAATTGTTCAATACGCTCTTGCAGAGACGCCAATAATCTTTGGAGCCAAATTTGCGAGATGCAATACGCTCCTTCATCTGAGCAGCAAATAGTGACTTAGCATTGTTGAGGACACGCTTACACTCGTCACGGGCAGAGGCAAAGAGACGTCTATTCCAGTCAGACATGTCGCTATGAAATAGGTGACAGAAGTGGTTCCTATGGGCAATGGCAGCTGAGCAAACAGCGGAGAACCAAGGGAAGGAGCGCGACTTGACCCTATATTTCCTTGAGGGGATGAAAGCACCAGTTCTGTCTTATATATATATATATGAATTTCTAAAGAATTCATTTATTTTTGATACAACATTTTTATTACTTCAAATGTTATTTTTAGTGGATATCCATGTGTGTACCCCTGTCTTTTATTAATTTTAAACAAACATTTTTCGTCTGGTCACACATTTTCTTTATTAAGGTTTCTGGAATGTTCATGTGCTGGCTGGCTCAATCAATGATATATATAGGTAAAAATCTGTGGGCAAATAATCCAAGTGAATCCTAATAACATAAAATATCAAAACTGATCCACAAAAAGTACTTATTATAACAGAACATATATATATATATATATATATATATATATATATATATATATATATATATATAATAAAAAGGGTTTTAAACACTAATATTCCATGGTCATAATTTATTTATATATATATATATATATATATATATATATATATATATTTATTCAATTTTCTTATTTTTTAGATTTTTTGAATTCTGTTCATTTAATTATCTTATATTTGTGCAGGGCCTGGAAGAAAGTATTACACAAGTGACAAAGAAAAGTCAAGATAGTCGTCAACTGCTTGTTTGGAATTTTCCTCTTGATGTCACCTTCAAAAGTACAAACCCGTATGGCTGTGTGTATGATTTTGTTTTTAGTAGACACTTCTTTTGAATCGTTCATATAACAAAGTCAAAGATTTAAGAGGGAAAAATACGAACCAGGAATTTGCACTTAATACCCAACCTATTTTTCTTTATTGAATTTGAATATTTTCAGTGAACTTAGCTGTTGACTGGCCTAAAAGTATCTGTATTTAATGAGAGTTGACAGTTTCAGAACTCTCCTGGTGTCAGGAGGTAAAATCAAAAAGATGAAAAAATAACACATGCATACACAACATATATTTATTCTTTTAACATAAATCTCCTTCCTTATCAATGCATGTACTTAAGTGGTAAATATATGTAATGTCAAGCTACAGATTTATTGATCTACCCTTGTATGTATGTACTTATATACAAAGAGCTTCCAAAATAATCAGAGACCCTATGACACAAAATGGCTTGCTGAAAGAATGAATTTTTTTTTTTTTTTTTTTTAAAAGCAATTCATCCCAAGCAAGATGGGAGTGCCACTAGCACGCAAGGGGTTATGGGGGATTGAGAACAAGAGTAAAGAGGTGTGTTTGAGGAAAGGATACAGAGAAGGACTGGGGACAAGCTCAGGGTGTCAGATGTTGATTGACATTACACTTGAATATTTGAAGATTATAATCATCAGGGAAGCAAGTAAAGGCAAGGGAGTTCCACAGACGAGAAGTGAGAGAGAAGAAGCTGTTTGTGAAGAGGAGATGGTTACATTTAACCATTTTGACAGTGAAAGGGTGGGACCAAAATGCCAGCTTGGTAGCTCGCTTAAATTCATGCAGTCTGGGAACCAGCGAAAGTAACTCATTGGAATAGTTGCTGTGGAAATACTTGTAGAAGAGACAGAGGGAAGCCACGGCACATCTGTGGGGAAAGTGATTGTAGATTAGATGCCAGATCAGGACCTATCACATTGCATATTCATCTCTGTTGATAGAAAATGAAGCCCTTTATGTCTTATTGGAATGATTTTGAGAGTGATTTATGTAGAATGTCTGGCAAGACCCAGGAAACTAAGAATGGGTAAATTGAAAGGTAAACAAATTGATCAGCATATTTTAAATCTCCAAATTTTGTCTAGCACTTTGTGTAATCAATGTAAACATATGAAGATAAAATTTGAAGTTAAAGATAAAATTATTCCGCTCCCCCAACGACAGCTCTCTTTTTAAAATGTTTCTCGTACTTTTTATCAGAACAAGGAATTTTAACAAATCATTGCTAAATATATTAGTTTTCTTTAGAAAGGGTAAATTTTTTTTTTTTTTTTTTTAAATCAAGTTCATCCCAAGCAAGACATTAAAGCCACTGAGACGCAAAGGGTTACTGTGTGTGGAAGAATTAGAATACAAAAACACCACTAAGAAGCGAGTACTGAAGAAGAGTAATCAGGAGGGTAGAAGATGGTGATTGATATTGCATTTAAATTTTTGAAGATTAAAGTTAACTGGAAAGCATGGAGCTGGGAGTTCCACAAGTGAGAAGTGCGAGAAAAGAAACTGTTAGCATAGAACTTACATCTAGTCAACTCAACTGTATACCGATGAGATCTCATTGCCAGTCTAGTACTGTTCTTGTATTCATAAAGTCTAGGTATCATAGTGAAGAGCTCATCCGAACAATTACCATGAAAATATTTATATAAATAGACACAAGTAACAACTTTACAGCAGGGGGAAAGTGACTGAAGCTGAGATGCAAGATCAGGACCAATGATATTGCAGATACTTCTTTGGATTTTATCAAGGATCTCTAGGTATATAGCACTGGACCATATTTCTGTCAGAATTTCTGGGATAAGGACTAATCATTATTTACACATGGACTGTTGTCATTGCACGAACTACTTTTGTGTACTTACATACTTTAATTTATTAATGTTTGAAGCTTATGAAGTGAAGTTCACACTGAATTTTTATCTTCCACTATACATACAGTATAACAACAGTTTGACCTGTTAAATTGGCTGATAATTTTGTTCTTGGTATTTTTTGAGTTTTGTTAGTTAATTTTGTTTCTGCATACAAAGTAAAAATAATATAAGCCTCCAAAATAAAACTAGAATATTTAGAAATGCTGCGTTAAAAATGCTTTGCTTTGTTAAACCACACTTGAGAAATAATTAATAATTTTGTCTTCAGCTGTTTATATGTTAGTATATGTACCGATATATTTGTACAGATGCATGCATACACAGGCATCTGTCTCGCTTTCTGATTATATAATGTATGACTTTCATAAAAAGAAATAAAATAATAATTATGAGTAGGATATTATGCTGCAAACTTAATGCTAATGTCTAACCTGTAAATTCTTAGCTGTGACTGAAAAATATGCAATTTTAAACTGTTTACCTAACAAATTTAAATTACACAAGGGAAATAACTACGAAAATCTTTTCATGTAGTTACTTCCCTTAATTCCCTATATGAAAAATAGAAAACAATTTATTATAAAAAATGCTTGATTTAACATATTAATATGTGTCTATTAAAACTCACTGAAGACATTATAATTTTATTGTCATTTTCTATCAGTGATTAGCAAGGATTACATTTATTCGCTTTTGTTTTTACTTGTTTTGATATGTTTAAAATTATACATTGTAATTTGACACTCATGGAGCATATTTACGTTCAGAGGAAAAGAGCAGACCACCTACCTGACATGTTTGTATGAATTGATGGCTAAAAGCTACAAGAGCCATGATAGCCCACGTCCTGAAAGGACAAGGCGTATAGAAGAAGTTTACTTTATAATTGCAAATTGATTTTTAAATGCTGGGAATTATAACTGCTGAACTAAAGAATCAATAAAATACTGAATAATTTTTTTTTTCCAAAAATGAAACCTTATACATTTTTTTTAGTTTTGTGTTTGAATAAGAGTAACAAAAAAATATAAATTGCAATTTCTATAATTATTCTTTTTTTTTAATGCCTTTTGGATGTAAGCAGTTATAACTCTCCACAGCTTCCTTTTCTTTAAAATCTGTGAATTGACATAGCTGTTCTCAGAAAAGCTAGAGAATTGTTTCTTGTTGCTTTCTATGCGATTTTGAATTCAAAATTATCCTTCAAGACTGCTTGTTCTACTAAGGCTAAAGAATCTAGTCTCCCTTATTATTTGCTCAAAGCTGGTAGGATAAGAGATGGATTCATGCCTTTCCCATTAGTATGAAGTGAATGCAACAGCCTTGACTGGAATTTGAGCTTGTGATGCTTATTTTCTTTTCTTTGCCAATAACTGTAACCTCACCTAAACATCCATATCATAATTATCTGTCAAGTTACTTGGTAAAGCCATGAAATTCTTGAAAAAATTGTCGAAGATTGGCAAAGAATGACTTTAACTCATTGTGCACTAAAAGTATTTTGTTTTTCACCTTGGGTATGTGTCTTCGTATTTTTCCATTTATTATAGCAATTTAATTTTTGTGACTGGGAAGTTCTATACATGACATATTACTGTACACTAATGGTTAAAATCTTATCTGAGTACTATTTAATCTATATCAGACATAATGTAAATTACATTATATATTCTCTTTGTATTATAAAGCAAATAGAATCCATTTCTTTCTTTTCCTTTCGGACCTTCCAGTTGTCCAACTTTTCTCTTGCAATATCAACTTTGATTCATTTACCTTGGCAACAACGGAATTAATAGCTGACATTGATTGATCTAATAATTGATTGTTTCAACATTGATTTTTGTTGATTGGCATACATGCCTATTTATTAGAATAGTAATAAACATTTTTGGTTTTACTGTTTGGCTGATTCTGTTTTTAATAAAAAGTTGTTACATATGAAAGTACACTTAGTACAACACACACAACACTTAGATAAAGTATAAGAGTAGAAAGTTAATGATAAAGGCAGAAAAGAATTGTTTGCCTCATGTCCAGTAGCCTTTAAATTTGATATACATATCCTTATTAAACCCAGGGGAACATTTTAGCATAATTTGTTTTATTCCTTGTGGGGGAAGTGGGAATCTACCTATTTTCTGTTATGCAAAAATACCTTATAGAAACAATTACTATTTGGAACTGTTAGGTGTAAGACTATAATTCCTTATTAAAGACTTGACAAGAAAAAATTGGAAAAATCAATTCTGTAAGACACTTACAACTCCCCAATATATTTTTTACTTATCACAGTATTTTTTTTTATTGGAATCTATTTTGTTTTTCTTCTGGGCTACTAAAAGAAATAAGCACTATTCTTGAAAGTGAACATTTCATATATGGGAATAATGACAATATAAACTTTTGTTACGATTCTTGTTTTTAAATCAAATATGAATTGCCTATGAATGGAATGACATTCATCCAAATACTATTTATTGATACATTGAAAGTTGATCCTTTCATAAAGACAGGCTTTCATTTTCTTTTAACTTAAGATGATAATTTTGACACAAAACCAAATCTGACAGCATTGCAGTACTTAATGAAAAGATGTCATTCATTATACAGGACAATGTAAAAGAGCAAATGCAGATTTCAACAACATTCCTGTTTTGAGTACAAACAGGGTCAATCTATCAAAATATTTTGCACTATATTGAAAATTTTGCTGTAAGAGATATTGATATAGTAGTTAATGTTGATTCCTTTTGTAACTATTTTGATTTCAATAATATCTGTGATTCTATAAGGATGGGTTTCAAAATGAAAGGTAGTTGATTCATTATCAAGTATCAATATTAGTAAAAGATTAGTGAACAAAATCTTGCATTTTTTGAGTTATATGGTTTGAAAAGTACAAAGAATAGTATTCATCTAAAAAATAAACTCATATAAATGAAAAAAAAAATTAAATCCCTATTTCAAAATGAAACATATTTTATTGACAAAATATTTAGTTTCTATTTTATATAGAATATCTTACTTGAAATCACAATTTTAATTGCTAATATGGTTATATTATACTATTTTTCATTTTACTTTTTAGTCATGTATAATAAAATATTTTTGATATTTTTTTTCAGGGCCTCGTTTAATGATTCATACTTATGGTTCAGATGCTTTTGGTAATGATGTTGTCCGTGGTTATGGAATGTGTCATGTCCCACTTATTCCAGGAAGGTAAAGAAGTTCTATTTCTATTCAGTATTATTATTATTATTATTATTATCTTTTCTTTTAATGTTATATCGTTTATATTAGTTAAGAAAGGTTTTCTTTTGATATTTGTAGAGTGAATACTGTGTTCATTTATACTCATTTTTTGAGCACTTTGACGTGGTGTAATAGTTAGAAAGCTTGACTCACTAGAACAATTATGACTGAGTAGTCGGTTCAATCCTTACTGGGTTCCGCATACTTTCGTCCTTGTCCCACAGTTAAGCTATGCTTAGAAAATCACCATTTATACTCATTTTTTACTTATATTTGGAATCTTATGTTCTTGCTTGTTAATTTTAATTGTGATTGATTTCTCTTCTATGGATTATCAACCCTTTGCTCATTATTTAAAGCCATAAAATATTTTTAGATTGTAATTCTTTTTTTCTTTTGAAATAATAATCAATTAGTAATACAAATCTTATTAATTAACCCATAGTTATGGAGTGGGTAGAAGAGGTGGATTCATACCCACTTTCCCAAGGGCGGGTATTTGTGTGTAAGTGAACATGATGAACCTTACTATAATTGGAACTTGGCTCTTTGATTAACACTTCCAAATCATTATCAGTTACACCACCTACACATTCAAGCTTACCGCAACTGGTATTCCCAAGTGGTCACCCATTTAGGTACTGACTAGGCTTGACATTGCTTAACTTTGGTAATTGTATAGGAACCAGTGTTTCAACATGATATGTCTGAAAGCCTTGTTAAGGGGACACATAAATCCAACTTGAAATGATTCAGGAAATTAAAGTTAACAAATAAAACAAATTTCTTATAAAAATATTTTTTTTAATTTGAATCTAGTTTTGTAATGCAAATTGCAAAACATTTTGGGATTTTTTTGTTGGATATTTTGGGATTTTTATCATCTGATTAAGGCTTGAAAAAAAATAATCATTTAATTACTCAATTAACAATACTCATAAGAATTGATAATTTAACAACAATATTGAATTTTTCTGATTAATTTTGTTGGGTAACACATTTTATAAATATTTCTTTTCCCATTCATATTCTGAGCATGAGATTTTCTATTTATTTATTTTAAGATAAAATATCTTTTTTTTCCGAATGGCTGACATTGCTATTAGCAGATTTAAAATGGTGTGAATTAAACAAATAGGTTTTCTAACATTGATAATATCAGTTTACAAGATGTTGATAAATATTTTTCTGATGTCTCAGTAACATTTCATTTGCTGTTTATTTATTCAGTTGATAATTTAAGTTGCTCTGATGTTAAGTGTTTTAAATTAAGGCAAATCAAAATATTGTCATATGATGGGAATATTTGGAATGGTGTATAAATAACTTTACAAGCATTGCTGTGTCAACATAGTTGCTTAGTTTTTGCTGTTATTCTTGCTATTGTAGTTTTTTTTAATGACTAATTTCAATCTATACATATATAAAGGGTAGTTGTGTGTGTGTGTGTGTGTGTGTGTGTGTGTACGCATCTGGCTAAAACTAAAAAACTACAATAATAACGACAAATAAATATACATACAGACTCAGTATCATCCAACCCGCCTTTTGGTAAAAAAATATCGTATGATTTGTATTTACAAAGATATTTTAAAATTAAAAATACATAATAATTGTATTAGAATGAATTCAAAATTCTCAAAATTAAAAAGTAAAAACAAACAGGAATAATTCTTATTTTGTTTGTTTTTACTTTATAATTCTGTTGATAATTTTGAAATGCTATATGTATTTTGAAAATTTCTATTCTCTTGAATTTGTTTCTATATCTATAGTAAATAAAAGTGTAACTTTTAAAAGATGAATATTAAAACAACAAAGTAAATTTAAAAGAAGAATATTAAATACAATTATTTGAATAAAATTTTAATATTTATTTATTCAAATATTCAAAACAAAATTTGTAAAAACACAACAGAATAAATTCCCGTAGATATTTCTTGGGAATTTTCAGTTGCTTTAATACAGTCAGTTATTCCATGAATATATAAGTCATCTTTTTTGATATTTTTAATCAGGAAATTTTGAATTACCTATTTTTAATAACAGGTTTATTTGTGTGTGTGTGTGTATTATTGACTTATTAATATTTTTCGGTCATTAAATAAAAGATTATTTTCCATCAGATGGCTGAAAAATATCAATAAGTTGTCAATAATAAACTATTATTCAGAGATCTCCCTAATATCGCTGGGTATCCTCACTAGTTCAAAATATTGGATTTAAGTTGAAGAACTAGAATCGGGAAACATGTTTTGCTGAAAAAGAATCAAAAACTGGTTTGCAATTTTTTCTTTTCATATAATACTTTTTTCCCTAAATTCTTTTTCTTTGATAGTAAACCTGATTAGAATTTGTGTTTTTATTTCATGTTCTCTGAAACAAGCAATAATGTCATAAGACTGTTTTTATGATTTCCTTTATACACTAGTCTTTGTGATTCTTTTCTTTGAATTGAAAATCAGCACATTGTGATGATGATGATGTAGTAGTAGTAGTAGTAAACATAATGGTTTACACAGAAAAGTTCTTTTTATAGAAAGCAAAACTGTAAATTGCATTTTTATTTTAATTTATAAGTATTTTCTTTTTTGATAGACACAAATGCAGACTGCCAATGTTTGTACCAGAATCAACATCACAACTGCAAAAATTCACAAGTTGGCTACTTGGACGACATCCAGAATTTGTAGATGCCAAAATTGTTGCGCAGGGTGAAGGAAGAGAAGGTAAGAGATAAAAAAGAAATAGCATCTTTCTAGATAGTTTGATTTCCAAGAAACTATTATTTAATTTATTTTTCTTCTGAGAAGATGTAAGTTTTGAATCTCACTTGAAGAGAGCACAACAACTAAGGATAGCCAAATTGTAAGTTATGATTATAGAAAACAACATTTTGGTAGATACTGAATGAAACATTAATGGAATTATTTGCATTATACAGGGTGTGGCAGAAATATCTCCCACATATACCTCCCAGATATACCCACCTCCCATATAATAGTAAGACATTAGTGGTAATAGTGCTTTCATTTAGCTAATGCCTTACCATTATGTGGGAGGTATTTCTGGTATGTGTATGTGGGTGGTATTTCTGCTGCACCCCATATTCATAAAGCAAGAACTTGACAGATGCCTAAAGACTCCAAGCCTTCTATAATCTGCTTTTTCCAACAGAGAAATTTCTTTTACTTGTTTCCCATTTAAACTTCCTCACCATTATTTAGTTTTATGTGTTATTAAATGGCAGCAGACATGATATTATTAAGAGTGCATAATGACTAGAAGGAATTTGGATTGATTGGAATCCTAGACTTGCTATGCTTCATTCCAACTCTGCATTGCATCAGACAGTTTTGTTTTTTTATGCAACTAAAATTCTTTTAATTGAAGTATGTACTAGTCATTGTTCTGATTCTATTCTTTTCTGTTTGTCTTCAAAGTTCTATCTTTTACTATTGAGCTCTTTTTGTGAAAAAAAAAAAACTTGAGATGGACTTTTCAACCATTGCACTTGTGGTTAAAGCTGCTCATTTGATTTTGTCTAGCCTGTGGTCCTATGCTAGTCACAGCACTACGTGTAGTCTTAGTTCTGTGACTACCACATGTGTTTCTGATAAGTTGTTCTGTCAACTCCTGCACCCACACTGTGTTTGAAAGATCCATAGAAGGGAAATGACGCAATTCAGCCAGAACTTCTTCTGATAGTCAGGATAGTCAGTACAAGTTGCAAAAACGGTTGGTAACTTAAAGAATCAAGCAACTTTCAATATTTATCGTAACACAATTGTGAATCAATATATAAAGAATAGAAAATGTTAATTTCTGCCAGTTGGTTATTGAAAGAAGACAGGTCTTTTTTTAATAGGCATTAATGTTGCCAAGTAGAAAAAAAATAAGACACGGTGAGAAATTTTGTTGGCACTACAGACCTATGCTAATTAGCATGTGATTATCACAGTTTGGGTAGTTGGTTCAGGGTCTTCACTTCACTGGGTCTTCATAATGTCTTCTACTGGCTGGAGAGAATCTGGTGTTAGAGGGGATGATATGCTTCTTGACTTTTTATCTCTGGTCTACTTGTTATAGAACTCAGTGTTTCAGCTTCTATGGACAAAATTTTCAGACCAAAACACTCCTGATTGGTGCTCCAATTACATCATTTTGTGTCATATTCCTATTAGTCAACCAACCATAGTTTGGGTTATAATTTACAGAAGTAGTAATATTGCCTTGATATGGCACTACTTTTATTTATTACATAGGCTCATCAATTGTTATTTAGATCTGAGAGGGCGAATAAAAAAAAAATCCTCTGTTTGATTGCACCTGGCATTTGACCTTTAAATCTGAAGGTAACCAAGATGCTGTAAGTAGGTCAAATGAAATGTATGCAGCTGTGAATTTTGACACCTCACAGTGACCTTTCATTATGGAGACTGACTATGGAAGCAAAAAATAAACAACAGGTGACTTGAATTTTGGTGAACTTATTAAATCCAATGACCTTTTAACCTTGTTATAAATCCAATAACCAAATCATAGGAAAATGCTATGTTTTCAACAAAAGAGGTGATTTTCTTTATAATTTGTAAGTGCCAATTAACAATCTCATCCTGTCACAGGCCAATAAAACTGACAACTCTTGTTTGCATTTCTCAAGTTGAGAAATACTGGAATTATAACAACTAGAACCTGAGAGACATTTTCAAGCTTTTCATAATGAAAGGTCTATTAGAACTTCTTACTAGAAAGTACTTCAATTAGATTTATCAAATCTCTGTTCAGATTAATCACTTCTTTGCTGACTGTTTTGAGATATTCATTGGCCTCTTTTTAAAGTCTTCTACTGTGTGTCTATGTAAGGTTCCATTTCATAGTTGGTATTTTCTTCTTGTCAGCCTTGTTTTGATTTTATCTACTTTGTTTCAACTGAATCATTATTTATTATTCTTTTAGGTCCATATTATACCTGACTTCCTTTCTGATATGTGTCACACCTGGCATTATTTCAGATATGTTCCCACAATAGATGAAGCAGGTAGGAATGTTTTAGAATGATACACAGTATGCACTCCTCTTCTTCATTTCATTGAGATAACACAAATGAGTTTGAATTTTCCACCAGGTCACAAGGATGGGATGAAAGATGAACTGTTTGTCTTTATCACCATTATGATGATAGAAAAGTGATGGTCAAATCTATAATCAATTATTAAACTCATTGGATTTTATTTTTTAGTTCAATTAATTTGTGAAGAACAATTTATCTTTTTTGTTTTCTGTGATGTTTGCTTTAACTCTGAATTGAAAAATCTATAGAATGCAAAAAGATTACATCTGACTTTACACAAATACTTTTCAGGTTTTTTAAGCTGGGTGGATCTGCAGTTAAGATAGATGTGGTTTCGTTATAAAATGAAGCAGTTTTTGTAGGCAAGTGTTCAAATGAGCTTTGGTACCTCAACTGCATGAATTTAAGTATACTACTAGATTGGCAATTAGGTCTCATCGTTTTACTGTTGAACTAGCTAGATGTAACTGTATGTTCTATTCTGATAGTTTCTTTTCTCGCACTTCTTGCCTGTGGAACTCTCTTCTGGTTTCTTGCTTCCCTGTCACCTATGTTCTTCAAAAATTTAAATGCAATGTCTGTCACCATTTTCTGTATTCCTTTCCTGAATCCTGTTCTTTTAGTGGGCTCTCTCCTCACTGACGTCTTCTCATTCTCTTTCACTCCCAGTACCCCCCCCTTTGTGTATTATGGGCATTATCGCTTTGTTTGGGATGAATTGATTAAAAAAATCTTTTTAAATATTGATATTTTCTATTGAATATCTTTGTCTTGACACTTACTGTATTTGAATAATTAAAAAAATAATTACTTCAATAAATTTTTATATTTGACAATACACTTACTCTATCTTACCTCCATTTTGGACAATTACACTTACTACAATATATTATTACACTTGTAAATGTACTTATAACAGTTGAACTGCATCACCTCAGTCAAGATCATAGTCTATGACCCCCACATCGTAGTTAATTGTTAATTCCATAATGTTTTCAATGGCTGTATAGTATGCACCTCAACAGGGCTACATCTTCTTCTGTGTGCCATGTCCCTTCAGGACGTGGGCGGTCATGGCGCTCCACAGCTTTGTAGTTCTCAATAAGGTTTGTCTTTTTTGCTATCTCTCCTAATCCCTGTTTTGCCACCCATTTGCACAAGCTTACTGCTTCCCTCTGTCCCTCTTGGAGGATTAATAAGGTGATAATAAATTAATGTATACAAAGAATGTAAAATCATCAGCAATATTTGAAGGATATTTGATATCAATGGATTTGAAACCTTTATCATCAGAATCCTTTTTCTTGTTTAAGGATTTTTAATGTGCAATATTTTGCTTCTTGTTTTCTTTAAAGGTATTTGCTAAAAAGTTATTAATATATTTCTTTTGGTTTTGTTTGCAGTGAGCAGAGTACGGACACAAGGATTTATCACTGTTACTTTTAACATTGTTAGTAAAGATTTAAAAAAGCTAGGTTATGATAACCAGTCGACAAACACAATTAATTATGGATCCACTGAAATGACCGAGTCCTTGTAATCATGGAAGCCAATTGTTGAAATCAAAGGTTTTTACTTTCACAGCATAATCCCTTTTCTGATGCTAATAATAAAAGGAACAATAAACTTTAAAGAATTCATATCCATAATGAATTGACATTTGACTGTTATCAATAGTTTTGCATATAAATAAATATTTTTATTTTTTATTTAATGTCGACATATGTATATATCCTGTGTCCACGATCTTTTCCTGCTTTTATGTGGTATAACCTGAAAAAGTAATACATACACTAAGGTGATATAAATAACGTATGAGGAAAGTGGGGCATATCAGATGCAGAAAAGAAGTAAAAGTCATTCATGTCTGCCTTTGTGGACAATTCACTATTTTTTATTTTTTTTTTTATTTTTCATATATTTCTCATGCGCAAAGGGAGATTACTCCGGTAAGACTCTTATTTGGTTCCTGATCAAATTAACCACACTTTATAAATACATAACATTGAGATTATTTTTAAAAAAGAATTTTCATCGATTGCTAAATATTAGTTGACCATATGAAAATAATTAAATATTTAGAAATGCCTTCGAAATTAGAGAAAAAAGTTAAAATTTGTGTTGCAAAGAATACATTTTTTGTGTAGGTGGGGCATCAGTCTTAATTTTGTTGGTTGGTTCCATAAAAGTTTCTTGGGGATGCCATATTGGACTTTTATATGGCGTCTGAGCAGAACAACAAGGGGAATAACTCGACAGTGACTCACCGCAAGTAGTATTGAGTTACATATAACTAACAAGAGAAGAGTTCCTGATTTGACTCTGATTATTAACTTTCAATCATCATTTCAAAATATTTTAATTAAATTTAATATAAAACGAAATATTAATTTTTCTAGTTTCTAAAAATTATTTTATGAAAGGAAGCAGTTTGAATCGGATGTAACAATCGTTTATTAAATAAATATGAATGGAAAATTCTGATTTTTGTCCATTTTATAGTTTCCCTTTTTACAGGGAATAAAACACACTTTTGTGTACTATTTCATGTTTGTATTAATTATATAATCATGAAAGAATGCTTTTTTGAATCCTTTGTAAACAGAATTTAATGAAATAAAAGTTTTGATTTAAAATCTGTGTTTGATATTTTTGTTTGAATTTTAAACATAAAGCATAATAGATCAAAACAAAATTATGTAACAAATCAAAATTAAAACAAAATGATTGGATAAAAAAAATTATTTCTGTAGATTTTTTATTAGAAATTTTTGTAATTTGATTTCTATTGTTATCCATGCTTCAGTTTGCTTTGTATATTTTTGGATTTTTTCTTTCTGGGCATTCTTTTTTATTGATTTGTATGACTGCAGAAATTCATGTTTCCAGTAGGGAGCTTCCTTGTAATTTATATACTTGTTGACTTGGCGGATCTTCCATTTGCATTATTTATTTGTGGATTTGTGGTAGCTTTAATCTGCATTACATACTTGTGGACTGGGGGAGCTTCAAGGTGCATTATTTACTTGTGAATGAGGGGTGATTCCTTCTACTTTATATACTTGTTGACTCAGGGGAGCTTCAATCTGCATTATTTACATGTAGACTGGGGAGTTTCCTTCTACAGGTATACCTCACCCTCCATTGTTAATTGGTTCCAGAGGTCATGACCTAAGTTGAAATAACCACATTATAAACCGCAAATAAGCACTCCCCATTGCATATTACAGTATTTATGATATTTACGTACAGTATTCTGAATAAAATAATTAAAAATGATTAAGTAAAAACCAATTTTAAATTTATGTAAACTTGAGTAAAATGACCTAAGGTGAGTTTTATTTTTTTCATATATTTAAGAAAACCTGACGTATCTTTGAAAATGACTTAACTCGAAATTATTTAAACTAAGGTATCACTCTATTTGTTTTACTTTTAGACTAGGGGGAACTTCCTTCTACTTTATTTACTTGTGGACTGGGGAGCTACAAGATGCATTATTTACTTGTGGATGAGGGGGAGATTTGTTGTACTTTATTTACTTGTTGACTAGAGATAGCTTCAATGCATTATTTACTTGTGGTCTAGGGAGATTTTCAATCTGCATTATTTAGTTGGGGGGTTCTTTTGTTTACTTTGTGGACTATTGTCCACAAGTAAATAATCCTCATCATCGTACAGGGTTAGATTGTACTTGTTCCATTGACTATATCTAGCGATATCTTTTCGTGTTCTTATTTAGTATTACTTTCTTTTGTATGCAGAAGAAATAGTTGCTGGCTATAAATATAACTTGTCTGATTTAAACTCTTGACTTTTTTCTGTCCCCCCCCTTCTTCTACACATATCTTTATCTTCTGAGCTATGTAGAGTGAGGAATGATAAACGGTTGACCCCTTTTTTTTTTTTTTTTTTTTTTCTTTTTATTCACCACTTTATGGTGAGTAATTAATTTGTTTTTGCTTAGCTTTACCTTCCTCATTGTTTTCGTATATTTGTGTACATATTTTATATACTTATAAAATGCCTGTTTTTAGAGCCCTAATAAAATAAAAAAAAAATCTTAATTTAAATGGTTTGGGCCTTGTCAAAAACAAAAGATAAGTATCAGTAATTGTCGACATGTGGGAAATGCTCTGACAATGTATAAATAGAGAGCCCAGTATGCCCTACTATTTAACGCGGATAAGGCGGAGTATGGTGAAGAAATAAATTCATACTTTTCCTAAAGCTATTTGTGCAAAAGTAAATGCAACAATCTTGGTTGGAATTTGAACTCAGCACACAGATTTCACTTTTGGTGCTGATAGTTGCTACGTTATGCGCACACCATGAAGTGAAATGGCATTTAAAAAATAATTGAGTATTGATTATTTGAAGTTGTTTTTTTTGTTTTTTTTTTTTTTTTAGGCTATTTTCCAATGTTTCTGTGGAAGATTCAAGGTACATTTCTCTACTGCTTTTTTTTAATCATTTAACCTCAAGCAAGGTGTTAATGCCACTGGGATGCAAGGGGTTATTGGGAATGGAAGAGAATGAGAAGACTTTAGTGAATAGAAAGGATAATAAAAAAACAGGGTTCAGGAAGACTGGCAATTGGTGTTGCATATAATTTTTTGAAGAGTGTAGGTGGCAGTGAAGCAAGAATTGGAAGTGAGTTTCACAGGCGAGATATGCAAGAAAAGAAATTATTAGAATAGAACTTATAGTTGTGTCTAGCTAGTTCAACAGTAAAACACTGAGACCTAGTAGGCAATCTTGTAGCATGCTTAAATTCTTGCAGTTGAGGCAAGTAGCAAAGCTCATTAGAACAATTGCCATGAAAATATCTATTTACGTGTTTGGACTGTTGTCTGAATCTTTCCATGACATTTTGGCTTTTATACATTCCAGCCTTCTTCAGGTGATTGGAATTTTTAACTGGACACTTTATTTTGTCCACTGGAGTAGATTGTTTTAGTTCCACATGCCATGCCTGTAATGTTCTGCGCAAGAAGCTATCGATGCTTGCTAGGCGTCGATTAATGCCTTGCTAGGATTTTAGGATGGTTTTTGATTGTCCCTCCGGTGATGGTAGCCTCCTATTCCCTTTTGTTGTGTAGCTGCTGATTAAGATTCACCGGATGTCTGGAGGGGACCTAACTCTTGTGTCTCTATGGGTTATCTCCCTTCTGTTGCTGGGATATTACAATGCCTATTCTGGACACCTCAGTTATCTTCCTTTAACTCAACTCTCCAGATTTATGTTCACCACTGCAGTAGCCAGGTATTGAACTCTCAACTCTTTGGGTCAAGTTACAGTATCCAACCAACACTTTTATTCACTGGGACATAAACTCATAGTCTTATTTTACCAGAGCTCATATTGCAATTTTTGTTGTTATTGCTTTTCTCTAGCACTTCATACTGCTGGTTCCCATATTGTATTCATTTCTACGTTTGGTTAGCTTAGGAGATTTTTTTTGACCTTATATATGTAACTGATTCCTTAAGTTTTTGTATTTTTCAGTGATGTTCTGTCTATTATTTCAACCTCATCCCACATGGACAGTGAGCTTCCTTTCCCTCCATATGTGGTCAGCTATGCCTGATTTTCTATTTCCTCTCATGTTATGGCTTTATAATGTTCTTGCAGTCTCACCTTAAAGGGGTAGCCTGATTCACTTTTATATTTCTTACCACAGCTGTACGGGATAGTGTACACACAGTCCTTAGTCATGTTTTTCTCTATGGGGTTCTTACACAGAAGAGATGTCTACGAAGTGTTAAACCACTTTTGAAGATCATCCTGATGTTATACAGACCACTCTTTTGTTTTCTCTGATAATCCCTTTACATAGGTAGGGTAGGCAGACTGAAGCTGTCTTCTGAGTGTTGTTATCATTTTGTACCCTTCTATTCCAGTTTGCCAGGGTAACAACTATTCTGCTTATACTGACTATTTCTTGTTCATATGTCTCTGGGTCACCACTTATGACTTTTTCTCGATGTTGTAAGCAGTGGACAATTCCTTTCTTTACTCTGTATTGGTGGTGGGTGTTGAAATTGACGCATTGTCTGGTGAATGTTGGACTGTGGTATACAGATGTCTTGAACCCATGAACCCATGCTGTTTGAGATATTAATACATCCAGGAATGCAAGTCTGTTGTTGTTTCTCTCTACATTGTGAACTGTATCGATGATCTTATTGTGTTCACATGTTCCAATAGTAGCTAGACCTCTTCTTGTGGCCAGAGTATGAAGATGTCATCTCCATATCTCAGCCATAGGGTTGGCTTTAGCAATATGAATTTTAATGCCATATCTTTGAAGTATTCCATGTATATGTTTGTCATTGCTGGTGATAATGGTGAGCCCATTGTTAACCCTTCATCCTGTTGATATATGTTTGATCCCATTCTGAAGTGTGTTGTTTGTGTACACAATGTCAGCAAAATTACCCAAAACAAAAATTAGAAGCTTTAATCTGTCCATAACTTACTTGTCAGAATTACTGTAGTAATTTGTACAACTATATTTAGCACATTGGCGATAAAAATAGACACTAAATATTGGACACAAACTTTTCACTTTTTGAAAAGATTCTCTGTCTAAAAGAATTTTTTTCTTAAGAATAAAGATAAAAAGATCAACACAGACCATAGATATAGGAAATGATTTGTTTTGTTACAGGAGAAATTTTGCTTGAAAGCACGAATTTTGGCCTCACTTGACTGACTATCCTCCCTGGCTAAGTTGGTAAGGTGTACCAGGCTAAACGGTAGTTTTCTCTGCATTGATGGCCACAGGTTCAATTCCTGTTGGAGAGCCCAAAGATTTCTCAAACATTCATTACTGTAAATAATTAAATCTACTGTTTAATAAATAAAAGGAACGTCTACTCAAATACGAGTATCCACCAAAAATAAGTTTAATGTGATAAAAATATTTTTAGCCCTGATCCAATTTATTTTGATTGCTTCCTTGTTTTTAGAGCCCCCTATTCTTCCAAGGCCTTTGTCTCTGCTTCAACTATATTTTAAAAAATATTTACCTTGACATCTTGGACAAATGTTAATGTGGACAGATAATAACAAAAGAAAACATAATCTGAACATTTTTTTTTATGTAAAAATGTAAATTAAACATATTACATACATGTAGAAAAATAGACCATCGTCTTTTTCCGGAAGTAGGCGATCATGGTTGTCCACAGCTTCTTATCCTTTGTGGCTCTTATTAATATTTGTCTTTTCACTATCACTTCCAATCTCTGTTCTGCCATTCAGAAAGGCTCGTTATGTAGGTTACTCGCTGCTTTCCCCTACCCCTCTTGACTTCAATTATGTCCTGTGAGTATCACATTCTCCAAGCTCTCTTTCCTCATTATGCTCCCTAGAAAATTCAAATATCTCTTTCTGATTTTAAATACGTATCCTTTTCGTTTCCATTTTCCCTAAATTTCCGTTACTCCTATGTTCAGCTCATGGGATTATCAGCATCCTTCTGTAGAATCATATTTCTATTGCCACAAGTTTCTTCTTCATCTGTGGGGAGACCGTCCAGCCATATAGGAGGACCAATATTACATAACAGTCCCGTATTTCTTTTTTTTTTTTGTTTCTAACGAAATTTTCCCGTTTCTTAATACTTGGCTTAACTTTTAGAAGCCAGTGCGTCTTCGGATTGCAGTGTCACATTTTCCTTTCTCTTTTAGAAAATTTCTCAAATATTTGAATTTTCGCACTTTCTTGATTTTCGTATCTTCAATTCATAGTTCACATCTTGTGATGTTCTTGCTGACGACCAGACATTCTTTTTTCTTGCAATTAATGCTTAGTCCTTTCTTTTCGCTTTCCTTTAATACTTTCTGCAGGAAATTCTACAGTTTCCTTTCTGTGTCTGCTCTCGACACAGCCATCTAAATATAGATCTACATTTTTATAGCCTTTTTATTATGAAAGATTACAAGAAAATGATAAAATATATATTTTTTCCAATGTGCTTGTATACGTTCTAGATATTTTAAACAACATGTCCCTTCAGTACATAGGCAATCATTGTTTTCCATAGATTCCCTTTCTCGTTCGATCACCGAAGTTAAGCATCGGAGAGCCAGGTCAGTACTTAGATGGGGGACCGCTTGGGAACACCTGG